CCAAGACCAATCTGTGTTTATGAAGTGATATTTTTTTTAATCCAGCTGTTGGACATCGAACACTGGTCTCCATTTAGTCTCATCTCAGGAAATCTGGCCCACTCGCATACATTTTCCAAGTCACATTCAGCAGTTTGTACAATTCCTGGGGCTGGAGGGTGCAAGTGTCCTTTGTGAAAGTTCCCGGGTGTTCTTGGGAAGTGGTTTTAGGGCATTTTCCAAGTCTCTTCCTTGGCCCCTCCCTGCCTATGTCCTGTGGTTCTGGGCCTGGGGTAGATCAGTCATCTTTCTTGCTGCCTCCCCGGCACACAGAATTCCCGATGATTGCCCCCAGACAAGAAGGGCTCCCATGTCAAGCTCTGGGAGTTGGAGAATGGATGCAGTTGGGCACGAGGAGCCCAGAGCTCGCCCTTGCCTCTCATCCAAGTCATAGAGATCTCGGGCCTTGGGAATGAGGACAGGGGCAGGTGGCTCCATGTGACTTTGTTTCCCAGACTTCCCAGAGGGAAGGCCTCCCCTTCCAGGGGGTCTTTCTGGAGCCTTTACCTTGTGGCTGGGAAGGTTTTGTTGGTAAGAGATGGAGCCTCGTGGCAGATTTCTAATGAGCTTTCTCCCCCAAAGCTTTCCTAGCTGGCACAAAGCCTAAGGGTGGGAACTGAGGACAGAGTGCCATCTGCAGACAGACTCACTCACCTTTTCTGACATTAATAAAAAGTTGACAAAAGTCTGATGTCTTCAGACATCCACTCCGACTCAGTAGCTATTTTTAAACAGATATTGCTGGGCCCCGCAGAAGGCACTATCTTCTGGAAAATGGGTATGATTGACCTCTTGCTGCCCTCCCATAGAAACAGCCAAAGCCTGAACTTGGCAGGTGGAGTCTGTGCTGTGCCCATATTTCGGATCTTAATTTGCTGCCATGTGGGTTATCTGGGGGTTCAAAGTCTTCCTAAAAGCCCAGCTTGAGTGCAAGCAGCCAGAGGACTTTGTATTTGACACTTCTGATAGTGTGGTCTAACTCCTCATTCTACAAGTGAGGAAAATGAGGCCCCGTGAGAGGAAAGGACCTGACCAAGGTCACATGGACATTAAAGCAGACCAGCGAGGGGCTTATGGGGAGACGCCTGCTTCCAGAGCCATCCCACAGAAAGCCCAGCTTCTTTGTTGAAGGAAGATGTCTAAAACTATGCCTGGTAGATGCCTCTGGTATTTCTTTCTTTACTCAGCATCGCTGTGTAGGCTGGTGAGTAGAGGTTTAAATGTGGACTCACAGAACTTGGATTTGAATTGTGGCTCTGTGCCTGTGACTGTATTTGTAAGATGGCGGGAAGCCTCCCAGGTCCCTGCAGTCCAGAGCCACAGCACCAAGGGAATGACACAGAGCATTACATACATTTGCTTCAAGTCACAGGGAGGTGCTGTTATTATCCTCATTTTACAGATAAGGAAACTGAGGCAGACAGCAGTTAAGAGACTTGCTCAGGGTCACATAGCTAGTAAGTGTCTGAAACCAGATTTGAACTCAGGTCTTCCCAACTCTGGGTGCAGTGCTTTATCTGCTGGTTGTCTTATCTAAACAGCATTGGACTGGGAGCCAGGAACCTTGGATCTAATCCTGGGTTTGACCTTGTCATTTAGCCTCTGTGATCCTCAATTTCCCCATCGTGAAATGAACAGATTGGGAGAGATGAAGTCTAATGTCCCTTCCAGGCCCTTTCTAGTCCTAAATATTTGTGATGATTAAAAAAAAAAAGTGCCTTCCAGCATGCTGGGCAGCACAGGAGGGAGAGTACAACACGAGCTAGTTGGTTCAAAGGTAGGAAATATGGAATCCCAAATTGGATTGGGCTTGAATGTCATGCTTGATTTTGTAAGACTGTGGTTTTTAAAATGATGTGTGCCACCTTTGGGAAATGTGTGATGTTACCATGAACAGTATTAAAACAGATGAAAACATTAGATAAATTGTGTTTACTGCAAAAGCACGCAATTTATAGTCCAATATAAAAAGCTCTGAGGTCATCACAGTTCCCATCCAAGTTGTGAGAGGCCTCTTTACATACCCAGCTGGCTTGTGTTTCCATGGCATGTCACATGTGCCAACAGTGAGCTCTCTCCATCAGGGCATGGATTTGGGAACTTGATTCTGGCCCCTGGAGGCGCTGCTTCCTCTGACGAGCCCCACAGCCCCCCACCAACTGTGACTTTTAGAGTAAGACTCAGCATTCTGAGTTTTAAGGGGTGGGAGCAGGTTTCTGCTGCCATTGGGAGACCGACATATTCTGTCTTCAGAATGATATGGAGAAAACTCCCAATGGTGAATTAGCAATTTTCAACAACATGATCTTAATTCTTTTAAGAGCAAGCTCAGAGTCACAGAATCACTGAAGCCAGAGACACCAACTCTACCTGAGCAAGAATCCGCCCCCCCCCCCACAAGGGTTCATCCCTACCCATCGGGTCCTTCCTGGGACTCATCGCCTCTGCTGGGAGCCCTCCAGGGATGGGGAGCTCACTGTCTCTTCAGGCAGCCTATCTCATTTCTTGGATAGCGGCTTGTTGGGGAGCTCTCTCTCAAGAGAACCCGCAGCCTTCACCTCATTAGCTCTTTGTAGGATGCTTTGCATGCTCTGAGTCTTTGTTGTGAGCCTTCACTACTTTGAACAGTTCACAAATTTCTTTTTAACAAGATAATTCATGTTTGATGAAGCGATGCAGCACTATCATTGAGTCATAACCACTAATCTAATTATATTCCTTGCAGTTCTAAAGTTTTCTCCAATTCCCTGAGCACCCTGGGTCATTCTAAGGATTTTTTTTTTAATTTTCCCCCAGTAATCCCATAGAACCTGTGAAACCAACTGCCTTCTAACTTGTACTATAGGTCCAGTCAAATCCAACTGCCGCCCCACGCCATCTTTTCAGTCTCTCTTGGGAGGCTGCTGTGGATCTTTGAAAAGGTTACGAAAAGTTGGCCACATTTGCTCGAGCCTCCCAAAATACATCCCTTCTTCAGCAATTCTTACATTTAGTGCAAGCTACACACAAATCATTTTGGAAAGCCCGCCGGGGAGCTGGCCAGATCCCTGGCTTGGCAGCAAGCAAGTTTCCTAAATCCGAGCTGCAGAGACAGAGAGAAGACCCAGACATCCCTTCGTAGCCATGACCTTCGTTCCCAGAAGGTGTTTATTCTTAGAGGGGTTTGGGGGGCACTTATTAGGCTCTTGTTTTCTCGAGGACTGCAGGGGATGTTAAAACGGGAGGGTCTTCACTTTAGTGGGGATGTGTATTTTGGGATTCTCAGGAATTTAAATGAAAACCATTTAGAGTTCCATTCTGTTTATCGAAATGCTTCTTAGAACCCCACATAGGGGTATCGGGCAAGGAGAAGAGCAGGGTTCAAGTCCCAGTCCAAATGGACTAGAGGCTGTTGAGACCCTAGAGGAAATCCGATCCAACCACCAGATTCTTCTAATGGGTAAACTGAGGCCCACGGAGGCCAAGTGACTTGCCCAGGGTCACATGAGTAGAAGGTGAGAGGGCCAGGTCCCGAGGCTCAAATTCAGCATCTTTCCCTACCCTCTGCTGCCTTCCTGGGACTTCCTGCTTCTGCTCGGGTCGCTTCCCCTCCCTGAGACTCAACGGAAAAACGGCGGCTGTAGGATGGAGATCACTCAGGTCCTTGCCAGCTGCCAGATTCCATGCCACAGGACCTGCAATGTCAATGGACGTGCTCAGGCAGCCACGAGATCCCCAGAAGGCTTCAGAGAACTCCTCTTTGATGATGCATGAGACAGACTCCCCGGCTTGGTCAGGACACCATCTGTGACAGCTCGGGAAGACAGCTGGAGGCTCTGGCAAGCCCCTAGGTTTGCAGAGCAGGTCTGTCTTAGGAAAGGGCTCTGAAGCCCTCACAGAAGTCACAGGAAAAGCTTGAGATATGGAGTCAGGAGAACTGGGCTGGAGTCCCAGCTTCTCCAGTTACAAGTGGAGTGACATGGTGGTTGCCTTGAACACTCTCTGTGCCTCAGTTTCCTTCCCTGTAAAATGGGGTGAGAATATCTGCACAGCAGACCTCCCAGGGCTGCCTGGAGGACTAAGGTGGGTCCTGATGTAAAAGTCCTGATAACAAATCACACAAAGCCCTGCAAGATTGGTCCTCACCACAGTGAGGTGCGAGGACCCAGGACACTGAGGTACAGAGGGTGAGGTGACTTGCCTAGAGTCACCCCGCTAGGCTTGAATTCAAATAATCGGATGTCTAAAGCCTCCTAGGAGAGAGCAAGTCAAAACAGGGCAGATTCGAGAAGGCCCCTTTGGCATTGCGGCTCTCTGACTCACAAGTTCTGTGAGGACCACGGTCTCTATTCAGCTCCCATTATCTGCAGCCTTGTGGCACGCCCCTCAGTGAGGCTTGACCACCCTCCCTGACAGCCACACAGGGCCCCTGGCTGACACCTGGCTTTTCAGCCGATTCTGCTCTAGCACAAAGGGGGAGGATCCAGAATGGGAACATTCCCTTTGCATACACACAGGGTCAGCTGCCCACAAAGTCCCCTTGTTCTCCTTCCAGTGCTTGGACCCGTCACTCCAGCCGAATTCAGGACTGTGTCTGTACCTCCCTGAAAATAAGGCACCTGACAGAAAAGAAGGCTGGAGTGGGGGAGATGGCAGGAGTCCCTGGCAGGTCTGGAGCTGCCCTATCACGGAGCGAATTCTCTACCAGATTTGATTCCCAGAAGGGCAGACATCCCATATTTTTAAAAGGCAAATGTGAAGAATGATTCCAAAGCACGCCCCCAATTCCCACCCCCCACCTAAAGTGCTTTGGGATTACTCTCTGGAGCCCCAGGTGTTTCCATTAGCCCTCACAGCGGGCTGAGTGGGTAACAAAGCCAGGCCTCATTCTGTCCGTGCTCTTTAGCACCGAACCATTTAAAGACCCCAAGCCCAGGCTCCAGCTGGTCTCAGGCTGGTCTATAAAGTCTTTGATTCTCAGCCCTCCAAGTCTCTGTTTTTCACTGGGGGCCTTGCGTCTGTGTCAGGCCTGTAATGAGAGGGAGAACAGGGAAAAATCAGACATGGAAATCCCTCAGCTCTGAGCACCCATTAACACCTGGGTTCCCTTATGGGGGCCTTTGAGGCCTTGGGGCCGGTGTCTGCATAAAGACCTGGTCCGGCAGCTGACCAGGGGCCAGGAGCGGCTGCACGGGGGTTGCTGGAGCCAAAGAAGGGGCTGGGTAGGAGGCCTGGACTCCACCACTGCCCTTGGGTTCTGTCTGATCCCAGGCCCAGGGCAGTGGCAGGAAAGGAGCCCTTCCCACCAGACCCCACAGGGACAGGAGGAGCTGAAGCTAGGAACAGCCAGGCATTCCCAGAGCTCCCAGCACATGGAGAATTCAGCAAGAATTGGAGGGTGGGACCCCTTCAGGGTGTTTGTCACCTGAAAACTACAAAGAAGAAAAATGCAGCTTTTCCTGCCATGGCCTCTGCGGCCCTTGTTTCCAAATAAGGGGTTTTGTTTTCAGCTGTGACCTTCCCCCCCCCCACATACAATACACATACACACATACATATACCCATACATACAATACACACACACACACATACACACATACACATATACACATACACACATACAATACACATGCACACATATACACACACATACACATACATGCATACACCAGTGACACTTTCCACAGTGACACATACACATACACACATACATACACACATGCAATACACATACACATCTAACACACATACATGCATACATACACACATATATACACACATACACACACAATACAATACACACATACATACATATACACACATATATACACATACACACATATACACACACATACACACATTCACACTCATACATACACACATATATACACATACACACATGCACACATACAATACACATAACACACATACATACAATACACACATACACACATGCACATATACGCATACACACATACAATACACATACACACACACACACACACACACACACACACCCCTGCACCTCTCCCTGTTCCGGCCCCTGTCTTCATGACGTGAAGAGCTCAGGGGGCAGCAGCATTCGGGGTCACTGTGTGGACTGTGAAGTCCTGGAGACCCAGGCTGGAGAGCAGGGGGCGCGCCATCTGCCAGATGGGCCTGGCGATGCCTTGTTGCGTCCAGATGTTACCTCATCGTGGCTGTAACTTGTTGCTTGGTCATTTCAGGTGTGTCTGACTCTCCATGACCGCATTTGGGGTTTTCTTGGCAGAGATACTGCTATTGTGGTTGCCATTTCCTCTTCCAGCTCATTTTACAGATGAGGAAACTGAGGCAGATGGGGCTAAATGACTTGCCCAGGGTCACACAGCTAGGAAGCATCTGAGGCCAACAAAGACGAGTCTTCCTGACTCCAGGCCGGCGTTCTATCCGCTGCACCACCTGGCTGCCCCAATGGCTGTAGCTGTAACCGGCAGATACCTACTGACCGGGTGGTTTGGAACCATTCTGGAGCCTTCACTTTGAAGGCCAACAGAGTTCCCAGAATTTCTCTGCCCACGCCAGCAGCCATTTCTGCCCCTTACCGACCACGGGGATGTCCCATAGGAGAAGACGTATCGAGCACCCAGCCACAGTGAACACGCTTTCAGGCTCTGTCCTTATCTGCCAGGGCCCCAACGGCCATTGTTTCAGGTAGGAACTGGTCACTCCTACCCCACGGCAGAAGAGAGGAGCAGACGTTCCAGGCATCACCGTTGAACCCAAAGGGTGGTGCAGCGGTTAGTGCACTGGGTGACGAGGACCTGGGTTTGAATCCCAGCTCTGTCATTTTATTTCTGTGAGTCACTTTATTTGGTGAGCCTCACTCAGTTTCCTCAACTTTAAAAAGAGAATGTTGGAGTAACTAATCTCTAAGGTCCCTTTGTGGTGTTAAATCCTGGGGGTAGGAGAAGTCAACATAAGACGGAGCTATATCCTGAGATGCAATGGAGACGCCTTTGCCTCTGACACTTCCCTCTTTAAACCCCCATACCTGGGCCTTTCTTCTCACACAGGGTTCCAGCGTAGCCAGGCCGACAGGCGCACGTGTTGGGGAGGACACATCTGCCTCCATGCAGACACTTCGGGTCACAAAGGGCTGCAAAACACAAGGTCCTTGCATCATCACTGTGGGACGGGGCACCCAGAAGGCTTCCGGTGCTCTGGGCCTTTGGCTTTTCAGACCGAGGACCTTGGCAGTTGGAGCCGAAGCACCTGGGCCCCCACCCCACCCTGGTCCACTATCCCCTCAAATATAAAATCCCTCTTCCCACCCCTTGTGGGAGCCCGTATAAGAGGCCATCTAGGCCAACCTGGGACTAGAGATTGGGAAACTGAGGCCCACCAAGAGGATGTGACTGGTCAAGATCCTATGAGACCTAAGAGTATGGAAGAGCTGGATTTGAACTTGGGCCGGTCCTGCCACTTGGGATCCAGCACTCCTATTCCTCTACCTGCATCCCTGAAAAAAGGACTATTCTTCCCTGGTGGTCCTCACTGAGGCACCAAAGACGGTGCTACTGTCTTGGACACCTCCGCGTGAGCTCATCTTCATGCTTCTTCATGTCAATTAGGAGCCATGATCCAGTTCCCTCCTCTGGGTCCGCGCTCTGATCTGTTCATTGATTGACTTAGAGAGAGTCCTTTCTGTACTCAGAGGGGCTGGTCTTTGGACAGCAGCTGCCTAATCTGTCACTGGACTTGTCTTTGGAGACTTTCATCCCCAGGGCCTTCCAGAACTCATGGTCTGCTAGCAGAGCCTCTGAGAGCTCAGGGTCACCTCTGCGACTCAATGACGTGCCAGGGGGAACCTCGGGGGAGTTGGAAGGAGATTACTTTGAAAAATTTCACCTTGGGGATGAAGTCCATGGAGCAAGGACTTCCTGGTCACACACGGACTCTTCTTGGGGACGAAGACTTACCTGTTTGACAGCAGGCTCCTCCCCAAGAAGTAGGACAATGGCACACGCTCGGGCCTATGCATTCTCCCCCATTCTGACACAATTATATGTATGTATATATATAGATACAGATATAGATATAGATAAAGGGAACAGGGTGAGTTGAAGATGAAAGGGTCATATCTGGAGAATAAAATTAAGGGGTGAGAGAGGATTATGCTAGAAGAAAGAGAAAGGGAGAGGTAGAATGGGGTAAATTATCTCACAAAAAAAAAAAAAAAAACCAGAAAAGAAAAGGCTCTTACAGTGGAGGGGAAACGGGGGAAGGTGAGAGGGAATGAGTGAATCTTATTCTCATAGGATTTGACTTGAGGACAGAATAACATACACACTCAATTGGGTATGGAAATCTGTCTTACCCTACAGGGAAATAGGAGGGGAAGGGGACAGGAGAGTAGGGGGATGACAGAGAGGAGGGCAGATTGGGAAAGGGGGTAATCAGAAGCAAATACTTCTGAGGAGGGACAGGGTCAAAGGAAAGAATAGGATAAATGGGGGGGTGGGATAGGATTAAGGGAAATGGAGTTAGTTTTTCACATCATGTCTACTATGGAAGTGTTTTGCATAGCTGCACATGTATAACCTGTATTGAGTTGCTTGCCTTTTCAATGAAGGTGGGTGGGAAGGGAGAGGTGAAAAAATTTGGAACCTAAAGTTTTAAAAATGCATATTTAAAAAAAATGTTTTCACATGCAACTGGGAAGTAAGAAATACAGGAAATGGGGTACAGAAATCTATCCTGCCCCACAGGAAAATAGAAGGGGAAGGGGATAAGAGAAGTGGGGGAGAGATAGAAGGGAAGGCAGACTAAGGGAAGGGGTATTCAGAATGCATGCCAACTTGGGGTGGGGGGAGGGGGGAGAGGGGGTGAAAATTTGGAACTCAAAATCTTGTGGAAGTAAGTGTTGAAAACTAAAAATAAATAAATTTATTAATTTAAAAAAATTAAGAAAATTTAAAAAATTAAAAAAAAAAAGAAGGATTTGGTGCCACTCAATAAACACCAGCTAAGTACGCCCTGTGTGCACCAGATCAAGATGGGAAGGGAAGGCCGCTTTTGGCTCTCGGACTCTCCAAGGAGCCCCTCTTACGTGAGCTGCATCTCATCCCTCGCCACCCAGACGGACAGGAGCAGACACTGGGCTGCACACACCTGCCTCCGTTCATGCACGTGGGCTCACAGATGCCTGAAAGCAAAAGCACACATCATCGGTGTCAGGCCTTGCCCACAGACCGAGCTCTGTTTGCCCAGCCCCGGCTTACTTTTCTGGCATCTCCGTCCAGCGTACCCCTCAGGGCAGGAGCAGACATTCTTTCTCATGCAGCGGCCGCCATTCTTACAGGGAGGATTGCAGATCGCTAAAGAAGCCAATGGAAGATGGGCAGATGGTGAGTGTGGCCGCTGCATTGGATGTTCATCAGTCTGCCACCCGAAGGCCCAGGGACCCTTCCTGCAGCAGACACGGTGGTGCAGCAGCAGAAAGAGCTCCAAGCCTCCAGCCAGCCAGGAGCAGCCGGACATCGGCTAGCTATGCTACCATGGACCAGTCATTTCCCCCTCTTAGTCAGCTTCCTCATCTCTGTAATGGGCACAGTGATCTCTCTGGTGTCTCAGTCACAGCGATGGTGTGAGCTCCAATGAGAGTGTGAATGAAGAGGGCTTCAAATCGCCAAGAGCCTAGAAACATCGGTTCTCGTCATTAGGAGGCAGGACGGACCAAGCAGAGAAAACGAGGCCCACGTGGAGAGCAGCCCTTCCACAGTTCATGTGGACTCTGTAACACTCACTCTTCAGAGAAAATTGTACGGGAGGAAGTCCTTTTTCTGAACTCAGTGAAAGAGTATTCTTCTCACTCAGTAGATTTCCACTCATTTCTCCAATTAAATAAGGTCATTTGGAATTCTAATCCCATGGAAGGGTCAGATTCCTAACCAGACCAGTAGGTGGAAATGGGCCATCCAGAGAGGGGTGCATCATGAAAGAGACCAGCAGAAGTCCCATTTTTTAAAGCAAATCACGATGGGAAATTCACTAAAAATGTCCATTCTATTTAGAGAAATCTACGTGGACACCTTGAGACTAGGAATCCAGTTTTTAATTAAATTTCATCAGTCATTTAAAAGCTCCCTTTTCAATGTTATAGCTCTTTTACCACGAAAGTGGACGTTTTCGGTATTGAATAATACAGCAGAAGCCAGTTAAATGGAAAAATTGTGAACGTTAGCTCGATTCCAGATTCATCCCGCCACAGCAGGCTGGGATGGTATCTCAGCAGGGCAAGGGCCTCCATGGAGCATGGGCTAGATACCACAAACGTCGTCACAGCACCTCTAAGTCTGAAGGAATGTCCGAGACCCTCCCATCCCACCCAGCTAACGTCCCTCTTCACAGCATTTGGTCAGATTTCTTGTGTTTGAACCTAACTTCTTTTATACCTAAAAAAAGAAGAGAAAAGATGGAGAGTGAAGGATTACCATTCTGACACCTCAACCCGAAGAATCCAGGTGGGCAGAGGCAGGTGTTTGGCTTATGGCAGACGCCACCGTTGAGGCAAGCTGGCTCACACAAAGCTGGGAAGAGCAAGAGAGGGACCGTCAGAGCTCCATCACAGAGAAGAAATAAAAAGGAAAAAGGAAGCTGAATGGATGTATCTAACAGCAGATAATGAAATACTTCATTTTTACCGCAAGTAAAGCCAATAACTGATAATTAATTTGACTTTACTGAACATAAAAGGCAGAGAATGAAATAACTAGATAATGGTATAGGAAGTTTGCTCATTAATTTTATAGATAATACTACACTAGGAACATGGAGGATGGGATGAGAATTCCAAATGACCTTGTTTAATTGGAGAAAGGCGCAGAAAGCAACAGAGTGAAATCCAGTAGGGAGATGACCAGGGTAATGTAAAGATAACAAATATATAGCGGAATCCCATGTCTGCAGTTAATAGATGTCATGGGGCCCCAGTGGTCCTTAAATTGAACATAAGCCAATAAGGCGGCATAGCAATCAGAAAAAATGATACCCTGAGGTGTGGGGAGAATCACATCACGGAACAGCTGTGTGCATGCTCCCACTAAATTCCATAGTGAGCAAACTACATTCCATTGGGAAATCTGAAATTTAAGGGGGTCATGGAAAATTTAGAGAGAGTAAAGATGCGTGTCACAAATGCACGGAAGTATAAATAAGACTAGGGAAAAGACAAGATGGGAGTCTTGGGAAATCTATACTTTACAATAGGCAATTCAGAATAACCTTAAAGACAAGGCATGGTTATGCATAAAAGGGACCAAATATCTCCGTGTCTACTAATGAAGTGGGAGGCTGAGAGGGGCAGTGGAGAGAGCCCCAGGCCTGGCATCAGGAAGACTCCTCTTCCTTGAGTTCATATCTGGCTTCATATACTTACTAGTTGTGTGACCCTGGGCAAGTCACTTAACCCTGTTTGTCTCAGTTTCCTCAAATGTAAAATGAACTGGAGAAGGAAATGGCAAACCATTGCCAAGAAAACCCCAGATGGAGCCACAAAGAGTTGGACACGACTGAAAAATGACCGAACAACAACAAAACTAATGAAATAATCCAAGAGAAAAGACAGACGTGGCATTGTGAAGGATTCAGGAAAGACAGAAGCCGGACTTTCCCAGAGACGAGTTGGATGAAAAATCAGAGTGACTTAGTGGGGTTATGAGACTGCTCGTCTGTGGCTCTTGGCTTCCACAACTTCACCAATACTTGGGGAATGCTTGTGTCCGTTCCTATTTTCACACTCACACATGCACACACACGCACACTCACACACATGCACGCACACATTCATACACACATGCATGCACACACTCATAAACACGCACACACTCATGCATACACACTCATACGCACACACTCATACACAAGCATGCACTCATACACATGCGCACCACCCATACACACATACACATGCATGCACACACTCATACACACATGCATGGACACACTTATATGCACACACTCATACATACATGTATGCACACACTCATAAACACGCACACACTCATGCATACACACTCATACGCACACTCATACACATGCACACACGCGCACACTCACACATGCACGCACCCATTCATACACGTGGACACACTTATATGCACACACACTCATACATACACTCATATACATGCACACACTCATACACACATGCATGCACACACTCGTAAACACGCACACACTCATACAAATGCATGCACTCATACACATGTGCACCACCCATACACACATACACATGCATGCACACATTCATACACACATGCATGCACACACTCATAAACACGCACACACTCATGCATACACACTCATACGCACACTCATACACATGCACGCACTCATAGACATGTGTACCACCCATACACACATACACATGCATGCACACACTCATACACACATGCATGGACACACTTATATGCATACACACTCATACATACACTCATATACATGCACACACTCATACACACATACATGCACACACTCATAAACACGCACTCACTCATACACATGTGTACCACCCATACACATGCATGCACTCATACACATGTGCACCACCCATACACACATACACATGCACGCACCCATTCATACACGTGGACACACTTATATGCACACGCACTCATACATACACTCCTATACATGCACACACTCATACACACATACATGCACACACTCATAAACACGCACACACTCATGCATACACACTCATACGCACACACTCATACACATGCATGCACTCATACACATGTGCACCACCCATACACACATACACATGCATGCACACACTCATAAACACACACACACTCATGCATACACACTCATACGCACATGCATGCACACACTCGTAAACACGCACACACTCATGCATACACACTCATACGCACACTCATACACATGCACGCACTCATACACATGTGCACCACCCATACACACATACACATGCATGCACACACTCATACACACATGCATGGACACACTTATATGCACACGCACTCATACATACACTCATATACATGCACCCACTCATACACACATGCATGCACACACTCGTAAACATGCACACACTCATGCATACACACTCATACACACACTCACACACATGCACACACTCATACACACATGCATGCACACACTTGTAAACACGCACACACTCATACACATGCACGCACTCATACACATGTGTACCACCCATACACACATACACATGCATGCACACATTCATACACACATGCATGGACACACTTATATGCACACGCACTCATACATACACTCATATATATGCACACACTCATACACACATACATGCACACACTCATAAACACGCACACACTCATGCATACACACTCATACGCACACTCATACACATGCACGCACTCATACACATGTGTACCACCCATACACACATATACATGCATGCACACACTCATACACACATGCATGGACACACTTATATGCACACGCACTCATACATACACTCATATACATGCACACACTCATACACACATACATGCACACACTCATAAACACGCACGCACTCATACACATGTGTACCACCCATACACATACATGCACACACTCATAAACACGCACGCACTCATACACATGTGTACCACCCATACACATGCATGCACACACTCATACACACACACACACAAATGCATGCACTGTCTGTCTGGTCTTGGTCTCTCTCTTCTCTTGCTCCCTTGCCATTGTGGTGGGCCCTGGCCACCACAGCTGCTGTTACGTCTTCTAAAATGGGGTCATTGAGGTCTTGAACATTTTGGAAGGGAAAGCGAGAAGAGGATGGCAGGTAAGGACATGAGAGCATCCTCTGATCTAAAAACAGGGCGCTCAGTCTCAGCCGTTGAGCATCCTCCTAGCCACCAGGCCCAGGACTGCAGGAAATGGGTTCATTATTGCCAGAAGACCTCGCTTTACCTGTGGCACAGGTAGGGCCGAACCATCCCCGCTGACACTGGCAGACGTCCGGGGTGAGGCACTGCCCGCCATGTTCACAGTGCCTGCTACAGACCTCTGAACGAGAAGGAAGCAAGAAAGGAAACGGTGAGAGCCGTGACAACGGCCCAATTTTCGGGGTTTGGGCCACATTTCAGGCAGAGTCAACATTCGTGCTACTGAAGGATTCTGACCCCTCCCCTTCAGCTTTGACACGCCACCAGACTCACTTCTCCAGTGGCCCTGGCCTTCAGCCGGCCCACTGTCCCCTCTGAGCCCTTTCAGCAGCGGCCTGGAGAAAACCTCCCCAACCATAAAACACTCAGACTCCATTCGACTGGGAGCTCCTTGAGTGCAGGAACCTTCCTTTGTACCCCCAGTGCCTAGCATAGTGCCTGGCACACAGTAGGTGCTCAATCAACGCTAAGTGGCCGACTCTGGCCGGAAATCATGGGTCACAGAGAAAGAGTGGGGATGTCCTTAAGTCATAGGCCACTAAACCGAACACGAGACGGGAATGTTTTCTATTCAGGACTGCTGTTCTCCAAAGGGGATCGAGGGAAGGGACAAGAAGATGCCACATTCTCCTCAGTCCCTGCTGGTGATGAGAGCGGTCTGAGGTGTCAAGGGGTCATCGACTTCCGACATCAAATATAACAATCTCTGAATTTACTCTGGAACACCAACGGCACGGAGAGACAACGTATCATGAAGTAGTTCTCGAGGAGTCCACTTACTCGTCTCACACCTCGGTCCCACAAAGCCGTAGGGACACGTGCAGAGATTCTGAGCCAAGCACGTCCCACCGTGCCGGCAGGGCGGGCTGCAGTGGGCTGTGGGCAGAGACGGTGTTTATTGTGAAATCAGTTTTAACCGTGATTTTTTCAGTTTACTTTTTGATACCAGACCCCCAGTGGCCTTCTCTTGGTGATGTGATGGAGTTGAGGTCATAGAGCAAGACCCTGTTTGAGGGAAGAGAAACACCCATTGGGGAGGGAAGGGAAAAGTGGGGACTTGGTTGGCCCAGCGTGGACCGTCCCTTCTTCACAGGTGACTCCACCACGGCCTGGAAGACATTGGCAGACCCCGGGCTTGACGCATTTCCCGCTGTTCTTACAGCCAGGGCCACACAGAGCTGGGTTAAGGGAGGCAAAGATTCAGAAGTGGGTGTGCTCCCTCCCCTCGAGTCTGCCGAGATCGCCACCCACCGCACTTACCAGTCTGGCAGCTGGGGCCGGAAAAGCCAGCTCGGCATCTGCAGACGTTGGGCCTCACGCACTCCATGCCCCTGCCGCAGGGGTGCCCGCAGATGGCTGAGAAGGAGAAGGCGAGAGGACGTGGCTGAAAAAGCACAGCTCTGGGGCCTGGAATGGTGGGCGTGAGGCCCGAAGCTGGTGTTTCTGGGCTGAGGGGCTTTGGCAAACTACGCTCCCTTTCCGAGCCTCACTTTTCTCCAGTAGAAAGGAGCTTCAGACCACGGATGTCAAGAAGGGCCTCTGCCCCCAGACTCCACTGCCCTGGCGGTGGGTTCTGTTTAATCACTTTTCTTTTACAAGGAGGAAATTGGAGAGGGGGAGCGGCGTGTCATCGAATGACTGCTATCAAAAATGAAAAGGACCCTATTTTTAAAAAAGGAGGTCATCTCTGCTGGTTCAGCAGAATGAGGGCCGGATTTGGAGTCTGAGGGCCCGAGTTCAAAACCAGACTCGGTCACTTGCTTCCTATGTCACTCCCTTCTCTGACCTCAATGTCCAAAGAGGGGTGTACCAGATGACCTCTGAGGTCAATGGAGGTGCCCCTGGCCTTTGTGCATGCCTGGTGACAGAGCGACGAAACCCAGAAGCTGTGGCCGGGGCCCTCTGGTGGCGGTCGGTCCTGGCAAGATTTTCCAAGGGGTCTACAAGGCCATGGCTGGAGCGGTCTGGGTCTCCCCAGTGACTCTGGGTGCCCAGCCACCAAAGGCTCAGACCAGAGAGAACACACATTTAGATGGGATTGCCTTGGTTAGAGAAAAGCAAAAAAGTGATTGCTTCTGGTTAGCAGGTGACATCGAGGAACACCACACCGAACCAGACCAGCCTTCAGTGCCCCCAGCCTGCGGGTCAGGTTGCACGGGGACGACCAGCAGAACACAACGTGTTCCCCGTGCTAGCAAAGGCCACGAAGATGGAACAGGCTTCCCCAGAGGGACAGTCATTGAGTCCAATGTGTCAATGGGGGACGTGTTGTAGGGACCACCAGTAATGAAGCCCCACGCTGGCATTTGGAAGAGACGGTAACAGCAGGAGCTGACATTTATGTGCCATTCAAAGGGCTGCTGGTGCCATCATCTCGTTTGAATACGTAAAGAGGTGACCAGGTAGCCTGACGCCAGCATTAGGAGGCAGCGGGGGACAGCGGAAAGCCTACCGAGGCTCCAATCCTGCCCTTAGCCCTTCCAAGATGGGGGACCAGGAACCAGCTGTACGACCTTCTGGAAACTCAGCTTCTCCCCTATAAAAGGGGGTCCCATCACCTCAAGAGCCCGCCTCCCCAGGGATCTGGGACGCACCAGGGAGAGAGTGCCCCGGGTGAAGGCCAGCCCTGGGCATCGAGGAGAAGGGGAAGGAGCACTGTGCTCCAGACACAAGCGCGGTCTTCTGAATTCCTGCGACCCTCCCCCGAACAGACTCAGTAGGTGCTTAATAAGGTGGAAGGAATGGGAGAGGGGAAGTGGAGCCCACTGATGGCCCATCCTACCTCTGCACTCTGCCCCATCTCCATAGTAACCCAAGGGACAGCGACCACACCGGAAGCCTCCGTCCAGGGCAGACGCACAGGGCACACCCGGAAAGCAGGGGGAGTCGGCACAGGTGAGCAGCTTGGCTCTTCCAGGGCTGGCTGAGCTCTGGTCCTTCTCAGGCATCGCTGGCGGTGTGGACGCTGTGCTGGGACCAGCTCCCAGTAGCTCCTGCCGGAGGCTGCTCGAGGTCCAGGAGGCTCCAGCCTGCGTTTGGATGGGACTCGTTTCACCCAGGGAAGGGTCTGGGCTGGTTCTCAGGGAGTGGTCATCCTCAGCCGGCGCTTGCCTCAGGTCCAGGCTGCTGCCGGCAGTCAGGTCGGGATCTACAGCTGTGGTCACGGAGAGCCGGGCAGCCCCCAGAGCCACAAAGGACTGATACAGGGACACCCTTGAAGGGTGGCTGGTCACGGCCGTGGATTCTTCAGTAGATGGTAGAAGGTGAGCAAAGCTGGTGACAGTGGGCACCCAGGGCTGCTCAGAGGACCTTGGCTTAAATGCTGTGTCTAAAATAACAGAAAAAAAACCAAAAGAGCAAAGTCACAGGCTAGTCTTGGTGGACTTCTGCTGGGTGGGCATTTAACATTCATTTACTCAATCAAACACTTCAGGAGTCCCCATTATTTAAGGAAACCTGGCATTTACAAAAGGCTTTACAATTTGCAAAGTTCTTCCCAGAGTCATCTCGTCTGCGCCTCCCAAGAAGGGGGAGCCGAAGGCACAATTACCCTTGTTTTACAGAGGACCAAACTGAGGTCCCATGAGGGTCAGTGACAGACAGGTTCCCCCTGCCTCCAGGATGTGTTTGGCACATCATCATGGACTGAGGGCAACACTGTTACACCAAAATACCTGATAGTGCCTCCACAATTTCCCAGGTGTGGCCAATGAACACAGATTTACCCCTTCCCCCCCCACACAACTGAGTAAGTCAAGTCGACAAAGCATTTATTAAGCATCTCCTATGTGCCAGGAGCTGTGCTAAGCACTGGGAGCTGACCAGCGAGTTAAGGTCTGGAAAACACTTTGCAAACATTAAAGCCCCACAGAAATGTCATCATCCTCATTAGACCAATTTTTCAGAGGTGTTGTAGCTAAAAGATCCATCCCCCAGAGCCACACTGACAACGGGCCTTGAGGCATCAGCAAAGCTGGTCTGCCCACACCTGCCCCTCCCGCGGTCCCCCTACTCTTCTCCACCCAGCAGATCCTTCTATGGGGCTACTCCCCCGGCAGAGGCTGGAGCACCTGGGCGCCTCCCGCCCACCATGAGGCCAGGCACGAAGGAGGGCAATCGGAAGAGAATCATGAGCCACACCCTCAAAGACCTTCTGCTCCCTGGGGAGCAGAGGTGATGTAAGACTTGATAACAAGACGAGGCAACCGCATGACAATGTCACGCAAGGACGTGTGAGGAGAGCCGGCGGAGGACAGGCCCATTCCTACAGGCGTGGGCAGGGTCAGGTGCCCAGCCCGGACAGGCATGTCCAGCCACTGTCTACACTCCTTAAAGGTCTGCTCTGCAAACTGGATCTCACTTTACCCTCACAACAGCCCTGAGGAGCATGCGGTGTTACTCCCGGGAGGCCAAAGCCTTCTCTCGTGTGGTGGCTAAAGGCCTGCAGAACCCAAGGGAGGCCAGCTCTGCAGAGGGAGCCTCCGGGCCCAGCTGGGAGCATGGCTCTGCTTCCAATGGAAGGATCAGCCAAGCCCTTCCTACGGCTGGCTCTGCAGACGGGCCATAGACGGGCACGGCCGAGCGTCTGCTGTTTTCATTGCTTACGCATCGTCTTAGGCCAGGGGCCTCGAAGTCAGGCCCAGACCCCAAGCGTCAGGATGAGCTGCGTTTGGGGGAGAGGGGGCCGTTCATGCAGCAGAGTTAGAGAAGAGGATTAAATGACCCCAGGAAGAAATGCAGTCTGGGTGACAGTGTACATACGCATGTGTGTGTGTGCATGTGTGTATGCATGTATGCACAGGGGGAGGGGGTAGAATATGCCCGCTTCTCTTTCAGAGAGACTCCGTGGGCTCCCGGCTAACTGGGAAGGCCACCTGGCTCCTCAGTCTTAGCAGCCAGGCTAGGAACACGAGGGACCCAAAGCCAGCAGGAGATAGCGACGGAGCACGGGAGGCAGCGTGGGCAGTAACCTCGGAGTGCTTGGTATCAGCCCTGCTCCTCGGCCCTGGGTGTCCCTGGATGAGCTGCTGGCCTTGTCTGCAAGCCCAGAGGGTGGGCTGGCTGATGTCTAAGCGGTCCAGACCCCTCTCTTTGCAGATGACAAAAGGAGGTGCGGAAAGAGGTCAAGGCATTGCCCGGGGCCTCTGGGCTAAGAGGAAGAGCCAGAACTCCACAGTGGCCCCCAGACTCCAAGCCCAGCCTTCCTTCCCCCACCTGGGGTCAAATCCCACCTTGTCACTTCAAGACTTTGGACAGTTGACTAAATCCTTCAAGCCTGTTTCCTCGTGTGTAAATAATGCCATTTGCCTCCCTGCCTCCCAAAGTGTAGGGGGAAAGCACTTGGTCAGTCTTGAGGCTCCCTAAAATGGGTGAAGACCCACCTTTTAGGTTTTCTACTGAAACACCCACCAAGGAGGTTTCCTGGTGGACCACCGCCCTCTTGTGGCACTTTGGGGAACACCTTTTGTTCAGGGATTAAGTTTGGTTTTTGACCAGTCTCCACTTAAATTTTCTTTCATAACCAGACCCTGCTACAAATCATTGTGTCCCATTCATTAGGTGGGCACTTGGCAGGCTGTGTGTGCGTGCGTGTCTGTGTGTCTGTGCCAGCCTCTGGGTGGATCTCACCAGTCACCAGCCCTACCTAAGACATCTCCGGTGAGCCACACGCAGGCTCCTGGTTTCCCTCTCAGCTTTCCAGCTGCCACCATGGCCCTGATTTCACCAGATTCCCCAAACCCCAGCTGCCTGGAAAGGATGTAGGCTGTTCCCGTCCCCTGCTCTGCAGAAACAGCCCAGTGCTCTCTCTTAAGTGCTTCAAAAGGGGGTTCCTCCAAAGCTCTGCAAGGAAACACAGGAGGGACAATGATGTTCAGTGAAGGGGAGCCACAATGGGACGTGGGATTTGGCGAACTGAGCTGGAAGATGTCGTTGGTGCAAGGACAGTCCCCAAGAGACGGACTGAGAGGACGCACTGCTGCAGAGCTGTGGCACAGAGAAAGAGACTGAGTCAGCCCCCCCAAGGCCTCCCCAACACAGGACGCAGGCTGAGACCTCCAAGGGAAAGCTACACCTCCCACCCTCACAAAAGCTTCCTGCCACACACTTGATGTTTTGCCTCAACATCGCCTGCATTCTTATTTATTCCGAAGCCAGGGATTAGCTGGAGGCACGCAGAAATTTAATTTAGGACAGAGCCAGACCTGCCTGAATGCTAGGAACTTTCCTAACTGGGAGCTCTGAGTTACTTGTACTAATAACTTTTCATCCGACATAAACTTCATTAAATGACAGGGAAAACAATAGAGCCAGGCTAAAATGTAAACCAATTGTCTGAGCGGGGTGTGACTGATTCAATCTCTAAGAGAAGGTGGGTGGGGAGGAAAGGGCATCACCAAACAAAATGTCACCCACTACACCATCATGGGGAAGAGAGGCAAGGCCTAGGAAGGAGGATAGAGAAGGCCTGGAGCACCGGTGAGCCACCTCTGCTCTCCAGACAGGCGTCCGCCGCTCCTACACTACTGTCCCATGCCCCCTCTGAACCCACTTCCCCAGCTCAGCTCTGGCCAGGGCAGTTTCTTCCCACTCTCTATACCCCTCCTTCCCCTCCTCCATGCCCCAGTTGAGTCTAACTTTGCCCTCACCTAGTTTTGCTCCAGGGTCCTGGTCAAGAAAGATTTTCTGCCTTGTGCAACCCCCAAGCATCATCTCCTAGGGCTGCAAGTGGTTTGTCTTGACTGGAAGGTCCTGGCACCCTGTGTCCTGGGGAGCTGGTGGTCCAGGCTCTTGGCTTGCATAGCTGGCCTTGCCTTCTTTTGGTGGTGGTGGTGGTGTGTGTGTGTGTTTGTGTGTGTGTGTATTTGTTTGTGTTTGTGTGTATGTGTGTGTGTTTTCACTCGATGGCTCTTGACTGGCCACAGGGCTCCCTGAACCTCACTGCTCCATCACACCTCCCCACCTGGCCGCCTGACAGCATCTTCCCATGAGCTGTCTGCTTCTAAGGCCTGTCTGCACTGAGCTCACAGACATGACAACAAAGACAGACGCTCCTCACCCATCAGCGTTTATGGAGCAGCCCAGCCAACGCCTGGCAGTTTCCCTGCTCTCTTCTCTTGCTCCACTCTACACCCTAAGACTTGGTCTGTGGAGGCACCAGCTAAACTCAAAGTTCTTGACATATTTCAAGTGACCTATGACCTTTCCCCCACCCCAATAAAGAAGGGAGGACCATAGGGCTACACTGGGCTTTGTTCCGTGGCTCAGTGGAAAGCTCCAGGTGGACAGAAATGCTCATCTGGGGACAAGGAAGAAAAACGTGAAAATCTGATTGCAGCGATTTTGATAAACCTAGGTTTTCCGGATCAGATTCTAAGTGATTTGACAAAATGCCGGAGTTTTCATTTCGAGGGTCATTGTGACCACCCCCGTTCCTTCCTGCCCCCGCCCCTACACTCTCACCCCGGGGGTCTGCAAACAAGACTGCAGACACTGCCCAGAAGTCCAGGTGCTGGCCTCCCCAAGTGTTCCCAGGTCACTGCTCACAGACCAGGGAAAAGACACAGGCCCGGGTAGCACAGATCACTTCAGTCTGGCTGGTGTGCAAGACACTGCATGAGACCACGCAGGCCTTCTGATCAGGACACCCCCCCTCCCCCCGCAGTCCACAGGCAGGTCTGACCCTAAGTAGAACAGCCTGCTCTGGTCACACAGTTCTGAGGCTTGCAGGGGGTCCCTGGCATAGTGTCCCTCCACAAGGAAGGGGAAGGCTAGCAGAGTCTGGGGGCCTTTCAGACTTGAGAGAGCTCCAGAAATCAAGTCACATTCTGTCTGAGGGCATTCCCCCAATGCCCAATGAGGGCCGCACCGAATTAGTGGACACGTGGTGGATTTGTAAACAGAAAGACATGAGTTCAGATCCTACAGACTCTGTGACCTTGGGTAGGTCACTGGACCTTTCCTGAGCCCCAGGCTCCTCACCCAGAGAAGCGGATGATGACAGCACTTCTCAAAGACACAAGGAACATTTTTGGCTTTTAACAATCACTTATTTTACCCCTGGGCACAATGGGCCTAGAAAGGAGAGGGATCTGGGAAAGCCCGATGCACGTGACAGGCCCAGGGGCCCAGGGAGGGGGGCACGGCAGGGATGGATAGGCTCCTGCCACCCTGCCCCTGCCTGCACCCCCTGGAAGACTGCTGGTGGACACCCGCCCCGAGATCTCCCAGACGAAGGGGAGAGGCAGCGTCACCAGGCAGCGCCGTAGAGGGGCAGAGTCTGAGGAGGTAACTCGGCCAACTATTGATTAAATGATCGCACGTGGGTGGATGAGCAGGGGAGCAGGAGGATTTGGAGAGCAGAGTGCCTAGCGCATGGGGGAGCATGAATGGGGCAGAATTACAGGAGGCCTGGAATGCCATGCTAAAGAGCTTGAACCTGCAGGGGACGTGTGGCTCTGAGCCCCCGGCCGCTCACTTCCTAGGGAAGCCGTTTGTCCCTTCCTAAAGATCTGCCTGCTGGTGGAGGGAGATGGCGGGGACGGATGGCGCTGGCTTCCAGGCCTTGGACACAGCAGGGACCTACCACGAGCACCATCAGGACTCCTGTCCCCTCGTTATGTTTCCAAGCAGTCCTGACCGTCATCGCTCTGTGTAATTAAATATCGACTAAAAGATAACACAGATCAGCTACCTTACTCAATGAGAAATAGCTCATGGAGACAAATTTTAAGACAAAGTAGCTTCTCTAGCATCGGCACACATTTGATAACACTCTAAAGTCTGCAAAACGCTTTTTGATCCATTGTCTGGGCTAAGCCTCCCCCAAACCCTGCAGGGCAAGTGCTACTGGTATCATCCTCATTTTACAGATGAGGAAACTGAGGCTGAGAACACCCATGTCGGGCGCTATGGGAAACCTGGTCTTCCTGACTCCCAGATCAACACACTGCCCACTAGGACACTGCCTCTACATGTGGTGGGGCCTGCTTCATAGCATCATTGACTAGCTGAACCGGTACATACCCTACAAATGTGTTTTGACAAAGAAGCTCCGGGTCCCCCAGCCCGTCACTGGGGGAGAAAGAGAGTTTACCGTGGCACGTGTCCCCAGCGTCGGGAAGGTCTTCGGGACACGGCACACACTGGTAAGAACCAAAGACGTTGATGCAGCGTCCTCTGGGCAAGCAGGGGCTGGATCTACATTCGTCCACGTCTTCCTGGCAATTTGTGCCTGGTGGAAATACTGAAGGGTAAGGCCCACGCTCCCAGAAGCAGATGTGACTGCTCTCCCCCGCCCTGATTTGTCCAGCATCCTCCAGTGGCCCATCACCCTCCACCTTAGGTCGCATTTATGGGCAGGAGTGTTCCTGCCTTCCACCAGGAGGGAAGCCCCTTGAGAGCGTGGGCTCTCTCATTCTGCCTCTGCTCTCTGGCCTCAGCCCGGAGCCTAGCATTCAGCTCACTGAGCACCTGGGGAATGAATCATCCATCCTGTTTTCATCCCTAACTCCCTGTTCTAGACGGTAAATGAGGGGGACCTGCGGCTTCTCTATGTAAACACAGCTCTAGGCTCCTCGGGACGTCTGCAGCCTCTGCTCGGAAGTCTGGAGTGGAGGGTGCCTGCTCCACACTGGGACGGCTCTTGCTCGTCATTGAGAGGCCCTTGCTGGAGCCCAAATCTGCCTCCTCCTGGTTCTGACTTTGGGCTCCCTATTCCAAAGGGTGTCCTGTCAAATATGTGAAGAGAACTCTCCTTGCCCCCTGCCCCCGCCCTCCTGCCTCAGCCTTCAGCATCAGGACCGATGTGCTTTAATCAGCGGCCATGCTCTACAGAAGATGCGCCACCATCCAACTGCCTCGCTGCTGCTGCCCCTGGGTCCTTCTGGCTCACCTCCAATGGCCCCTCTCCCTGTTAGAGTTACAACAAGGGCCAGCATCTACAGCATCTTGAGGTTTGTCAAAGCTTTCTGTGTGTGTGTTACTCATTTGATCCTCACCACAACCCTCCAGGCGCGTGGGATAATCATCCCCATCTTATAGCCTGAGGGACTGAGGGAGAGAGAACCTGCCCAGGGCCCCAACTTGCTGACTCCCAGCCCAGTGCTCTCCAGCGCCCCACCGAGGTGCCCTGGCCGTGGGTGCTCCAGAGGGCAGAGACCGTCCCACTCTCCTCCCCGAGTCCTCAGGGCTCTACACACAGAAAGTGCTTAATGAATGCTTGTTTGTTCATGGGTGCGTGCATTCACGCTCCTTCCAATGATTCTCCTACAACGTGGACTCCGGGGCCCCGGCATCCTGGGCCCTGTCCCAGTGAGAACTCTCTCCCACGGACCTGGGTGTTGTTCAATAGTGTCTCACGCTACGTATCAAAGACACTGGGGCGCTCTGCCCCTTCCTTCTCCAGTGTGTCCCCGTTTACAAGGCCACACCTAGCTCCTAAGTGCATGAGGTGGGAGTCAGATCTGGGTTTTCCTGTTTCCTAGTCCAGCCTCTACCCACTCAGCGACCCTGCCCCTCTAAGAAGACAGGACGATCAAGCGTGCTGACCTGTCCACCCCACTGGGCATTCACAGGAGTAATTCCCGATGACATCCCTGCATTGGCCAGGACCGCAGGGGTGAGGTTCACACTCGTCAATGTCCACGTCACACCGGGTGCCTTCAAACCCGGGCAGGCAAGAACATCGATAGAGCCCACCTCCTCGGGGGATGTCCTCCTGAGGCACACAGGACCCACCGTTCAGGCAGTCACAGGGCGTCATGGACACCTGCGGAGGAAGGCAAAGGAAAGTCTCGTCTCATTCTCGTCCCTGGAGGACCTCACTGACACGGCTGTTTGGGGCTGGAAGGAGATCACCTTTGGGAAGTGTCTTACAAGCTTAGAGTGCTCTAGAAAACCCCCATCACCATCACTAATGAGAGACAAGAGCCAACTTGCCATCCCCAGGTCACTACCTCAATGGTCACTATGGCCTCGGCCTTGCAGTCATCCACGGCGCTGATGGTGAATGTCTGGGCACTCTGGGATAGGACTTTCCATCGTAGGATGCCCATGGGAGAGACACTGGCTCCCTCCGGGCCCGAGGTCAGGGTAAAGAAGACGGCAGAGCCTTCTGGGTCTGAGGCCACCAACGGGTATACAAAGTCGTCCCCATAAAATGTCTGTAGTCTTTCCTGCAGACCCTGGAACACGGGGGGTCGGTTGTCTGTGACAGAGCAGACACTTTTGTGAAAGCCCAGAAGCAGGAAGGACTTTACAGAAAAGAAAGCTCCCTAGTCTGCCCCGTGGCACCCGTCGGACTCCTGTGGGTGTAATCTGAGCTGATGCCTCTCTTCCCCTTCCCACCCCACCAGATGTCTTCCTGGGTCCCCAGACCCTCTCAAGAAGCGGGAAGGAGCGAAATATGCCAGGTCGTCATACCCTGCCCCCCAAGATTGTCTGGGGACCTCTCACCACTGCAGAAGTCCAGAGCAGGGAAGGGAGAAGCCTGGGGACCCCTCAGCCTGGGCTAACAGCAGCTAAGCGGCTCCTGTTCCCCTGCTTTCTGGGCTCCTAAGCCGGGAGAGGGAAGGCTAGCTCTGCTGGCAGCCAACTGGCCCAGCACGGAGGCTGGGGAGCTCAGTGACCCCAGGCCCGGAGCCTCAGATAATTAGCATTGCCTTGACTTAGCAAATGTGAAAGTCAGCTTGGAAAATCCACAGCAACAAGGAGGGAGCTGCTGTCCTTATCCTGTTTTCATCATGTAAACGGAGGAGGCAGACAGAAGGAAGACAGAAATCTGGAAACAGAGGCAGCCCGGCTCCCCGGCCTCTCAGGGTGGTTCTGACCTAAGCAGTCACCAAACGCCTTCATACCTTCGGAGATGGACCAAATCCACTGGGAGAGGCCACTTCTGCAGAGCAGACAAGGGCTCGTCGGGCTGGACTCCCCCTCCCCATAGCAGAGGCCATCGAGGTAGCAGTGCTTTTCCTAAATATAAATGAAAAATCATCAGCACGGAAGCAGTTGTCCATCAATGACGGCTGTGGGCTATTAGGGCAAGGAAGCTATGCGTGCCTTAGGCGGGTGACAGCCTGTCAACCTCCTGCTGCCATTTCTGAGGGGAAAATTCCAATTATTATCTGGGTTTGGAAATATCTTCTGCTAATGATCTGTGCTGATGATCACTTTGTCCTGGAAAACCAATTATTTCCAATCAATAAGAATTTCTGCCGAGCTAGACAAAAAGAGGGGCCCCTTTCTTAAACAAGTGAAAATATTTAAAGAAGTAAAGATGTAAATAGCAGAAAAACTCATAATGGGATTGTCGTTCCCATTAAAAACCCTGCCTTTTGCCTCCCTCTCTGTTCCTGGTATCCACGGGAGTCAAGAGACACTGGGCTGTTGTCTACAGTATGTCCACGGTCAGTCGTGGCTGGTGAAGGGGGGGTGTGGGGGTGTGGAGGGAATTGGAACTGGTGGGAAGCAGAGGGGCCAGAGCCAGCCTTGGGATCACAGACCTCAGAGCTGCATGGAACCTTCAGGGTCAGCCAGGTCACCCCCAGCTCCCCGATCGAGGAAAAGGAGGCCCAGAGTGAAGACCTGGGGATGTTTAGCCTGGACGAGATGCCGGGGGACACGATGGCCATCTGCAAGCCCGGGGAAGAGGGATTGGATTCGTTGGGCTTGGCCCCGGAAGGGAGAGCCAAGAATAGTGAGGAGAAGCGGCAGAGGAGAGAGAGATGATGGGTCAGTGCAGGGAGCCAGGGAGCCCAGCACCCACGGAGTACGAGGACCCAGCCTTTCTCTCGGCCTCTCCCGAGCAGGAAGCAGAACCACGGGGAGGACCCTGAGGAAGCCGGGAGACTAGCCCCTGCCAGGGAGGGCCGGGGCAGGAATGATCCAGACTGCTCTCGACACCCACGGGTGCAGGGGGATCCCCCCAGGCCTGGCAGGAGGAAACGCTCCATCAGAAAAATGGGCTTGTGGGATCAGGGCTTCAGAGACAGATGTTGTCCTGCCTGGGACTCCTCCTTCCCTGTCAGAGGGAGGATCTACGCACTGACGGGAGGTCCAGCACCTCACAGACCCAAGTGGGGCTGCAGGGGCCGCCCCAGAGCCAGAGAGCTCTGTGAGGCATCGGAAAGTGAAACATCTGGGGGCAAGGAAGGGCCGCCATCTTTCTGCAGCCAGACCCACGCTGGTGTTTTCAACAAAAGGTAAGGCTCTTGATGTTAAAATCTACTGGTGCCTTCCTCTCTGGGCTCTTTCTGAGGGCTGATGCTGAATCATCCTAATGTACTAGATAATATAGAATAGTATAACCACCAATGAGGTGACAGCCCTGGGCTCAGAGGACCTGGGTTCAAATCCTCCCTCTGCTCCTTACGACCTGGCTGTCCTTGGGTAACTCTCTTCCCCTGGCCCTCAGTTTCCTCAGCTATAGAATGGGGGCAGCTAGGTGATCAGTGGGCAGGGGGCTGGGCCTGGGGTCAAGAAGACCTGCCTATCAGTCAATAAGCATTTATAAAGTGCCTACTGTGGGTCAGTTCCGTGCCAAGTCCTAAGACCCAAGTTCAAATCTGGCTCAAACATTTACTACCTGTGTGGCCCTGTGCAGGTCACTTAGCCTCTTGCTGCCTCAGTTTCCTCAACTCCAAAATGAGGATAATAACAGTACCTACCTCCCAGGGTTGTCATAGGATCAAACGAGATAATATTTGCAAGGAGCTTAGCACAGTGCCCAGCACATAGTAGGCATTATATAAATGCTAGCTATTGTAATTAGACGGTCTTGGTCCCAGCACTAATTCTCTGACCCCATGTACAACTCTAGCGGGTCATCCCCGATCCATCCTCCACCGGACTGATGTACAAGAAGGGTCTGTGACCTAAGACGCCCGGGCCTGGGCATTTTGCTAGTGAAGCTAAGGTTTCATTTGCCCAGTCAATTATCTGAGCCGTTTGTGTGTAGCAGGGACGGCCCCTCTGGGCAGTCATCCACTCTCTCTTGCCCAGTCCACCATCTTGAAAGCCAGGGGCCTATGGTGAGAGAGAACAGCCAGGCCGGGGTATGTGGCCCTCATTGAGAAGGGCAGAAGGCAGGGCTGGAGCCAGGGCACAGTTGCAGTGCTGACGTATCTGAAGGACTGTTCCTTGGAACAGGAATGAAGTTCGTCCAGCCAGGTGCCAGGGGCAGAGCTGGGCCATCTGAGCAGAAGCTATGCAGAGGGAGATCCACCCTGAAGGCCAGGAAAAGCTCCCTCACTGTGATTTCTTTGATACAGGAAACTCCCAAGTGAGGGGACCCTCTGTACCGGGGCTGCCTATGGCACTGAGAGGGTAGGTGACCTGGCTAGGGTCATACAATCAGTATACGTCAGAGAGCAGACCTGAGCCCAGGCCTTCCTTTCTCTTCTGAGGCCAGCGCATGCGCCCCATGATGCCCAGTAACAAACGGACATGGGCTGCATCCCTATAAAAGAGGCCATCTCTTTTCCCCTTAATAGAGGTCTCTAAGTGGAGGACAGATTATCGCTGGGCGAGGATTCCTGCTCAGGTTTACACGATTAAGGGCTTAAATGAGTTGGTCTCTGAGGTCCCTACTTGCCCCCAAGTCTGCTGGAGCAGATGGATCTGGGCTGGACTAGCGTCCACACTGGCAGGCAGGTCCGGCAAAAGCCTAGAATAGCACTGCCACAGAGGGCAGTGTGTGACGCTGGCCACAGGAGATGGCCTGGTCTACACAGAAACCCTTAGCACCAAGCTGACAAATGACCTAGAAATCTGGGTGCATAATCAGCGGCAGAAGCTCATTTACCCTCACCTGTCTGGGCTGCTTCTCGGCCCTTCTGTCTCCAAAGGAAACACAACCCACCCTCCCAACTGGTGGAGAGTAGAAATGTTTGAAGGTCTTTCCCCCGTGGAGCACGTGGGGCAGGAGGTAGGGGGAAACCCCCACCATCAGCCTGGAGAGGCTTTCTTCGTTCACTGTAACCTGTCCCTGAGATCAGAAGGGGAGACCACCCTCACAGGAGGCTAGAACATTGACAGCTCAGATAGAAACATGAACATAAACCCAAAGCATAAGGGGGATACCTTTAATATACACCGTCCCTCAGCATGGGGGTCACATGTCTGACAAGCGCCATCATAGACTGTCAGAATCTGGGGATTACTGAAGTGATAGCCATCATTAGAAACCTGTAAGAGGGAGTGACAGGTAACAGTATATGAAAAAATGCTCTAAATTACTATTGACGAGAGAAATGCAAATTAAAACAACTCTGAGGTACCACCTCACCCCTATCAGATTGGCTAATATGACAGAAAAGAAAAATGACAAATGCTAGTGGGGATGTGGAAAAGTTGGGACACCAATGCATTGTTGGTGGAGTTGTGAACTGAACAAACCATTCTGAAAAGCAATTTGGAACTATTTGGATTTTATAGCCCAAAGGGCTATAGAACTGTGTTTATCCATTGACCCAGCAACACCACTGCTAGGTTTGTTTCTCAAAGAAATTTTTTTAAAAAAGAGAAAAAGACCTATTTGTACAATAATATTTCTAGCGGCTCTTTTTGTGATAGCAAAGAATTAGAAATGGAAAGTATGCCCATCAATTAGGGAATGGCTGAACAAGTTATAGTATGTGATTGTAATGGAATATTACTGTTCTACAAGAAAAGACAAGCAGGATGATCTCAGAAAAACCTGGGAAGATGTACATGAACTGATTCAGAGTGAGGTGAGCAGAACCAGGAGAACATTGTGCACAGGAACAGCAATATTGTGTGATGAAGAACTGTGAATGACTTGGCTATTCTCAGAAATACAAGGATCCACGATGATCCCAAAGGACTAGTGATAAACATACTATCTGCTTCCAGAGAAAGAACTGATGGAACCTGAATGCAGATCAAAGCAGACTATTTTCACTTTCTATATCTTTTCATGATTTTTTCTTTCCCTCTGGGTCTGTCTTCTTTCACACCATGACTAATATGGAAATATTGACTGCACATATATAACCTATATCAAATTGCTTACTGTAGCAGGGAGGGGGGAGTTGAGGGAGGAAGAAAATTTGGAACTCAAAATTTAAAAAAAATGAATGTTAAAAATTGTCTTTACATATAATTAGGGGAAAATAAAATATTATTTTTCTTAAAAAGATGCAAGAAGTGTCAGATGGCTTGTTTTCCCTGGACTCTCCATTTCACCACCAGGTCCCTGATATTTTCTTAAAGAAATCTGTTTTAAAAGATCCAGAATATCAAGGGAACTAATGAAAAGAAATGCTAGAGAAGGTGACCTCACCATGCCAGATCTTAAATTGTATTATAAAGCATCAATTATCAAAACTGCTTGGTACTGGCTAAGAAATAGAGTGGTGGATCAGTGGAATACAAGACACAGTAGTCAATGACTATAGTAACCTACTATTTGATAAACACAAAGATCCCAGCTTCTGGGATAAGAACTCACTATCTGACAAAAAACTGCTGGGAAAACTGGAAAAGAGTATAGCAGAAACTAGGCAAAGAACAAAATTTCACACCATATACCAAAAGAAAGTCCAAATGAATTCATGACTTAGATATAAAGGCTGATACTATAAGCAAACTGGGAGAGCAAGGAATAGTTTACATATCAGATCTATGGAGAACAGAAGAATTCATGACCAAACAGGAGATAGAGAACATTATGAAGTGCAAAATGGATAATTTTGATTACATTACATTGAAAAATTTTTGCACAAACAAAGCCAATGCAACCAAGATTAGAAGGGAAGCAGAAAGCTGTGAAGCATTTTTTACAACCAGTGTCTCTGATAAGGGCCTCATTTCTAAAATATATAGAGAACTAAGTCAAATTTATAAGAATACAAGTCATTCCCCAATTGATAAATGGTAAAAGGATATGAACAGGCAGTTCTCAGATGAAGAAATTAAAGCCATCTACAGTCATATGAAAAAATGCTCTAAATCACTATTGATTAGAGAAATGCAAATCAAAACAACTCTGAAGTACTACATCACACCTATCAGATTGGCCAACATGACAAAACAGGAAAATGATAAATGTTGGAGAAGATGTGAGAAAATTGGAACACTAATGCATTGTTGGTGGAGTTGCGAAATGATCCAACCATTTTGGAGAGCAATTTGGAACTATGCCCAAAGGGCTATAAAAATGTGCATATCCTTTGACCCAGCAATACCACTTCTAGGGCTGTATCCCAGAGAGAGCAAAAAATGGGAAAAGGACCCACATGTACAAAAATATTTATAGCAGCTCTTTTTTGTGGTGGTAAAGAATCGGAAATTGAGGGGATGCCCATCAACTGGGAAATGGCCGAACAAATTGTGGTATATGAATGTAATGGAATGCTATTGTGCTGTAAGAAATGCTGAGCAGGTGGACTTCAGAAAAACATGGAAAGACTTGTATGGACTGATACTGAAGTGAGCAGAACCAAGAGAACGTTGTGCACAGTAATAGCCACACTGTGTGATGACTAACTCTGATAGACTTAGCCCTTCTCGGCATTGCAAGAACATCGCCAAAGGTCTCATGATGGAAAATGCTATCCACATCCACAGAAAGAACTATGGAGTTTGAGTGCAGATCAAAGCATACTATTTGCTTTTCTTTTCCTGCTGTTTTTTTTTGTTTCCTCTTTTCTGGTGGTTCCTCCTATTGGTTCTAATTCTTCCTTACAACATCACTAATGTGAAAATATGTTTAATAGGAATGTATATGTATGGCCTATATCAGATTGTGTGCTGTCTTGGGGAGGGTAGGGGAGAAAAATTGAAAACTCAAAAGCTTATGGAAGTGAATGTTGAAAACTAAAAATAAGTTAATAAAAAATAAAAAAATATAAATAAAAAGAAATATATTTTTTGGTTGTGGTTGCCTTTTTACCTTGACTTGCCACTTTGCAGTTGGCCCATCCCCCCTCAGGTCCATTGTGGGTAACTTCTGGACATGGGCAGGCAGCTGGCAAGTGACAAATGTGCTGTTGTGGAAGATGGTGTCTGTGTATACAGGTGCTCCAAGGACCCCTTGGCTACTGTTATACTAAAGAAATACAAAGAATGGTATTTCTCCTTTTTAATCGTGGAAAATTTCAACAAAAATCAACGTTCACTTCATGAAATTCTTAAGCTGAAAACATTTTAGATTGGTTATGGCACATTATGCCCAGAAATGTGTTAGTTTTTTTCATTTAAAACCTTACTCCCAATCTACATCAAGAAATAAAAATAAATCATTTTGAAACACCAGGAAATCTGATACTTTATAACACTGCGAAGGTGGCAATTTTCCCCCCTAATTGGCAGAAAGGACCACCTTCGTTGGACAAGATCTGATATAATTTGTTGTCACTGTCTAATGAAGCTCTCGGAAGCAAACACAAAATGTCGGCTCTGGATGTCTAGCTACACAGGCGGGGGCAGATGGCGCGGTCTCGGAAGGATTGAGTTGGAGCAACAGCTTCGTTGGCACACAGGGATGAACCCATCGTGGGTAGTAAGTAACAGCCGGTCACACGAGCCCCTCACTAGAGCACCAACCAGACAGGAAGACCCAGCTAACACAGAGTCGTCCATAGACGCAGTGAAAATGCCAAATTATTAAAGATATTTGAACCTGGAACAGGAATCAAAGCAGGAGGCAGCGGACTCTTGTGATTTGCTGGGCCTTTCACCGTGCTGGTGGGGGACCTCTTGGGCTGAGGACAGTCCCCCAGTCTATGTCAATGGCTACTCTTCCTTCCACTTCCCTTGAGTTTAGAAGGAGATGGAATCCAGGGAGACAGAAGGAAGGCAATGACAGTCATCTCAGGCCAGAAAAGCAGTCCCTGGGGGTACCTCCCCAGACCGCGCACATCTACTGGGCTCAGGCTTGACTAGCCACCAAAATGATGTCTGATGTCACTCTGACGGTCCTGCCAAAATCAAGATGGTGTGAACTCTCCGGAGGGATGGTGACTCAAATTAATATTGTGAGCACAACTGTCTTTTTCCATTACTGAGTTTTACTGTCCCACACACTACCTTCTCACGAGGGGGTCAGAAGTTCATAAATTCATGGCTTGTTTACACAGACTGCTGGGGCAAATTCTCTAAATAATTGTAGTCCTTGAGGGTACAAAGACAAGCCATCCTCCTTGCAGTATGTTGTTATTATGGGAGATATTATGGGCTGGCTCCATTCATCTAGAACCATTTCAGGGTCACAGAATGTCAGCTAGAAGGGAGCTTAGACCATCTGGTCCCACCCAGAATCAGTGCAAAAGGACCCACTAGAACACACCCAACAAATGGTCAGACAGTCCTTGCTTGGAGACTTCTGAGATGCCACTCCCTGCTCCTCAGGCAGCCCCTCCTATTTCTGGACATCTCTCCCGGTTTTTTAGGATTTTTTTAAGCCACATTTTACCGCTTTGGTGGTTCTACCAATGCAGCTGGCTTAGTTCTCTGGGGCCAAGTAGATCAAATCTAACTGTTCCATAATTCAATGAATATGTATTCAATGGATGAGTAAGAGCGATGTTAAACCATGAATTAATATGTTAATGATCAAATCATCCTTGAAAACAATGACCTCCCAGATTTAAAGCTGGTTTGTCTGTCTTATAAATGGAATGCGATGTGAGCAAAGAGCCAGGTGGGCCACGTGGAAGCTCGTGAAGCACCCGAAGTTACTAGACATATCTTGTGTTCACCCTGAGAGCCCCCAGACCCCCTCTTCCAGCCACTTGGTATTTGCTGAGCACTGTGCTAAGTGCTGAGGACACAGAGACAAAAACGAAACAATCCCTGTTTTCAGGAACCTGACAGTCTACTGGGGCAGGAGACTATGATATGCAAGGGGAGGGAGGACCCTGGAGCTGGGGAAGGAAGGATGAGTCATGAGAAGCCCCTCACCTACCTGCTTCTGGGCCATTTCACATTTAATTGTTGGTGACTCTCTGAATCCGTGACCAAAAACTCCCACTGTCCTGCAGCTGTCCAGTTGAACATCACACAAGCCAGCCTTCTCAAGCTCTGTAATTTCTGGAGGCTGGTCTTGGAGGAAAAGTAGATTAAGCATGGATAGAAAGTTAAAAATACACACTTTGTAGGGAAAAGACAACCACAGAATTTTTTGAGTGGCCTCTATTTGAAGGTATGTGCTAATCACATGCCCTGTTAGATTCCTGGAATCCATTCAGCAGCATCAAACGAGGCGCTCCTACGGGGGACGAGGCGTAGCCACCCGGCGTGGCCGGGCCCTCAGCTCCCTGGGCAAGGCCAAAGACGGTTTTCCAGGGGCCACCTTCATCTTCCAGTGGCTGCTAAGATGCTTCCTCCGTTAACATCCTCCCAGGCCTTTCTGTGCAGAGAGCTCACTGGAGACCCATGGCCAAGAGGCTGAAGGAGAACGCCTGTCCCTTTGGAAGGGCTGGTGCCGAGCTTTCCCACAGGTTGTCACCAAGGGCGCACATCGATCAATCAAGTATTGACGGAGTGCCAGGACGGTGCCAGATGCTGGTGATACATGTACCAAGAAGGAAGCAATCCCTGCTCACAGGGGGCTTACGTTCTAATGGTGGAGACAACAGGGGCACTCTGAAAATGTGCCACATACATACAAAGGGAATACATGAAAATAGATACACAGTAATTAAGTATAGGAGGCACAGTGGTAAGGGTGCTCAATGTGATGTTAGGGAGACCTGAGTTCAAATACTGCCTCAGACACTGAGTAGCTATGACTGTGGGCAAGTCATTGAACCTGTTTGCCTCAGTTTCCTCTTCTGTAAAATGGGGATGACAGGAGTACCTGCCTCTCAGGGTTGTTGCGAAGATCTAATGAGATAATATTTGTGAAGTGCTTTGCAAGCCTTAAGCACCATACAAGCGTTAGCAAAGATTATTAGGGTAGATTGGAGCAGGGCCCAGCAGCTGGGGGATCAGGCAATGCTTCACGCAGAAGATGGCCCGTTCGCTTCATCTCAGAGGAAGGGAGTGATTCACTGAGGCCAAGGGGAAAGGGGAGTGCGTCCCAGGCATGCAGGAAGGCCAGCGGGAAGGCCTGGAGGTGAGGCCAGGAGAAAGACAAGGCTAGTCCTGCCGGATCGTGTTTTGCCAACTGTTCAGTTTTCGGCATGTAACGGCTTGATTTGCTATTTTGTCGATTTTCTAGACTTAAGAAAGTGATGGAAAATATTAATAATACATGCTAAACTTAAAAGTGTGTCATGTGTAATTTTTTTCTATTTTTTTTTTTTTTTTAGAGAACTTGATGCTAAAGGTTTTCCATCCCACCCCTGGTTAACTAAGTAAGGAATCACTTTTTCAGATCCACCCCTAAGGAAAATTACTTTGTCAGCAATGGGCAGGACGGACTTGAGGCTGGCTTGACTCAAGGGGTAAGTCACTGGTCTTGGGACGGCACTCCTCTCTATACAACACACACTGAGATTTTCCAGCTCTTTTACTTACCAGACAAGACGCTGCAGTCAAAGGAACTAAAGCCTTGGAAACATGCACAGCCCCATTCCACGCACTGTCCATGTCCACTACACAAATTGGGGCACTTTAACACGAGAAGAATTTCTCCGATGGATTGGCCATAGTCTTCTGTGTTGTACTTTCCCTCTTCCAAAATTCTCTTCTCACACTCATTTTCTAAGAGTGCCAGACCTGCTTCTGCCCAGCTAAGGTCGTCTTTTAACAGCACGTCCTTCACACACATCTCAACAACACTGTCTATTCTCTCACCAAGAAACTCTGCACAGGACTTTCCAATGCTGGAGTTAGCCAGGGTCTGATGGCAGGCTTCCAACACATGGGCTTCCACCAGCCCAGAAGGTGTGGGCCATGAGGGTACAAACTCCTGGTGTGTATCCGTAGCATGGTCCTCGGGAAAAAAATAGCTTAATCCTTCCAGGTCAGTGGGGCTGAGACTGGGGAAAGAAAACGTGGGTGGAGATTCACGCAAATGTTGTCTTTTCTGCCTGTTTTGGACAGGTCGTCTCTCTTGGAGATGGTGGCCCAAATGCTGTATACGTCTCCTGACTTCCAAAGGGGCTATTTTCCCTTTGTCCCTCTTGTGTTGAATGGACCCTTTGGAATCTACTTTTGTTAGATTAGCATATTTTTCTTGGCTTAAAGAAAGGGAACCTGGAGTTTTTTCTTCTCTCAATGAACGCTTCTTTAAACTTCTGCCCAGTTCATCAGCACTAATATACTCCATAGTGATGTCAAGTTCTGGTATCAAAGAAGGACGCCTGACATGTTCACTGTCATTGCAGCCTGACATGACTTCTGATTGAGGGTGCCTATCCAGAGGATTGACAGACCAGAATCTAGCCTTGTCTCCTGCACAACTGCAGTAGGAGATTTTTCCAGGAGATTTCGAAGAAATCGGAAGTTTATCAAACATACTCTTTCCTGGTGATATCCTTCCAGGGGATAAAAAGACAAGACAACAGAATAAAATGAAAACAGTTTGCCCACTGATGCAATCACACTGTAAAAGAACATAGGGTGTGGAGATGAGCAATACAGAGTATGTCAGGGCTTTTAAAAGAGATGAATGAAGCAGTGATTAAACACTTACTGCGTGCAAAGCTTTGTGCTATTCAAATTCTTACTGACACTTAGTCCAATAGAAAAAAAAAACCTGACTTTCTTACCTCCACTCATTAATAAAAACAAGATATGGACTGGAACGGTCCTTGATCACAGCTCCATGTTTGTCATGGAAGTCATTGTCTGGTTCTTCATCAAAGGTGCCACAAAGTCCCCGGGTATTTTTGTAGTCTGAGCTAGGAGACTGGATTGTCAAACTCATGCCCCATTCGCTAAGATCGGCACGAACAAAAGCTCCGGAAGAAAAGAAGATCTGGACACAAACACAGTCGAAGGCAGAACAAGTGAGAAAAAGCGTGAGAGACAGGCAGATGGCGACCCGACGTCCAGCATCAAAGGCAAAATGAACTCTGATCTTCAGAAGAGATGACTTCTGTTTCCTACGGATGTTTGTAAGCTGGTAAAACTTGAATCAGAAAAAACAGCAACTGCCTTATTTGAAGTAAAAGAAGGTTGCTGTTGCTAGCGAGGATAGAAGAATGTCAAAATCATAATCTCCTGACTACTATGTAACACGTGGAGATCAGGAGGATACGACCAGTGCGCTCACTGCTTGAAAGATTCAGGCGGGTGAATAAGCGCTGACTGTAGATCGACTGTGTTGAGCCGCGAGGAGTTTTTATAATTTTATAAAGCTCATAGATCGCAGATTTAGAGGTCAAAGGGCCCAAGAGGTCACCTAGTCCAAGTCCCTTGTTTTCACCATGGGGGAAACTGAGGCCAAGAAGTCAACATGGTTTTTAAGTGACAGAGTCAAGATTCAAACCCAAGCTCTGACCTCAAACCTGGCCCTCTTTCCGCTACCCCACAGTTGCCTCCTCGAGTATTGATGTTTCACTAAAATGATACCTCTCTCGAAGATAACACATTCCTTCAAGACTATCCCATATCTGGCTGTGAAAGCACATTTTAAACACTAATAATCTCCTGATTGTATTAGATGATTGTGAATCAAGGGACACAATGACTCAAAATTTTGGGTGACCAATAGGTAAGGGAGACAGGATGCATGGGAGGTATGTAAGTTGGTTGCTGCTTACTACCAATGACTTGGGGGCAGCTAGGTGGCACAGTGGATAGAGCACCGGCCCTGGAGTCAGGAGGACCTGAGTTCAAATCCGGCCTCAGACACTTGGCACTTACTAGCTGTGTGACCCTGGGTAAGTCACTCAACCCCACTGCCTAGCAAAAAAAACCCCAAAAAACATATTACCAACGACTTGTGCACAAGAAGGGATAGAAAAGACTTCTGCATGCACACGCATGACTGGAAAAGGAGATGGGCTGGTCCTGTTAAAAGAGTGAAAGGTAAAACATGGGAAGCTCAAAGGTTGCATTGGTACTAGCCAACAAACATTTATTAAACACTTACTGTGTGTCAGGCACTGGGCTGACTCAAGAGATGAAAAGCAAAAATGAGTCAATCTCTGCCTTCAAGGAATTTACATTTTATAGGAGGAAATAATATGTAGATATAGATGTACATACAGAATAAATTTGGGGGCAGGGTGATGCACCCAGAAGGATCAGAAAGGACCTCATACACATGGAGGCATGCCTTCTATGAAATCATTTTTAAACTCCAGAGAAAGGCTTCTAGTGGTGTGTTGGGTAAATTGTCTTTGCAGGATTTGTGGAAGAGCATGGAAAAGAATCGTGTAGAATGAAAGGATGAGAAGAGAATGGATGATAATCCCTGCAGACTGGAAGCTCTTTGCAGGCAAGGACCATTTCATCTTTTCCTTTGCATAATTTCTGGTGTCTCTTACATTGTAGGGGGCACATATTGGGTGGAATTTCTTTGTAGGAGGCATGGTCCCATCAAAGCATCTGATATCTTGCCAATTTCATACCATAACTAACATGTTTATGAATGCTAATTGAGGAATGTTTACCAAATTAACCTTCTGGTCATATCCTCCTGATCTCTACCTGTTACACAGCAGTTAGGAGATTATAATTTCGACATTTTTCTATCCTCACTACAACAAGAACTTTCTTTTACATCAAATAAGGCAGTTGTTGATTTTTCTGATTCAAGTTTTACCAGCATACAAATATCCGTAGGAAAGAGAAGTAATGCTTCCAAAGACCAGAGTTAATTTTGCCTTTGATGCTGGACAGAAGATCAATTCGACAATTTTCTGATGTATATTATCTTAAAATCAGAAAACACTTTGGATATGAAATTGCCAATTGCACAGGAAAACGAAAATGTCTGATGAGAAGATTCTCCATTACGTACTGTGACTTTTCTTCCTAAATAAGACTCCCTAATCTTGATATTGCTGGTGGGGTCTCTGCTCTTCACAAATAAATAGGGCTGTGACTCATGGAGCTGGCCATTGCACATGTCCAATGCGACCACATCACCTCCTTCTTTGGCCACAAACCCACAGTTACAAGACACTGGGTAATGAAGGCTTCCACAATCCCACTGGCGAACATGGACCTCAAAATCTCGGGACATGCTCTTGTAGAGCACAAAAGTTCCAGTCTTGAAGTGCTCATAATGCCTTTAATGAGAGAAGAGAAAGATTTAGGCTGAAAATAATTATATCTCAAAGTATTAATGCTGTAAGTGTTATTCAGATTTAGGAAAATCTTAGTCATTATTTAACCTTCCTGGGTCTCAGTTTCTTTATCTATAAAATTAGGAAGTTGACATGGTCTCTACCTCCTGCTAAGATTCTTTCAGTTATATTAGTAATATGCTCATTGATAGTTAAGCCTCTCAAAGGCATGGACTGTCTTTTGCTTTTATATGTATTCCCAGCACCTGGCACATCATAGGTGCTTAATAAATGCTTGCTGATTGAGAAACTAGATTATAAATATGAAATAATCAGCATCACTCTACCCTGTGTAAATCTATCTGAAAAAGTAATTTCACTGTTGGAATCTCCCCTACACACACAAAGCATCCATGAACACCACTACCATGATGAGGAATAAATGAGCTTTGGTAATTAAACAATGTCCTTGAGTGTAGTGAGATTTCCAGATATGTTTGACATTTCTGAATGCTTGGAGTGTCCATCCTTCAGGAGTTGTCCCACAGCTATCTTCTAGGCACCCAGATGTGGTCATTTTAGTCCAGAATCATTAACATTCAATGAAACTTGATCATGTTAGAATTGCCATCTGTGGAGTGGATTAAGAGGTGATTCCATGGCACTCAAGCACTGCCTGGATTTCATGTTATCTCAGCCCTGGGCTGGAGATTCCAGCCATCCTCCAGGACAAGTGACAGTTGAGAAGCTTCAAGCTTCAAAGACGGAGTGTGATAGCTGCCCAGTTCAGAGTGGGATTTTAGAAGTGGAAAGGCCCCAGGAGATCACCTGGACCAAGGGCCTCATTCCCAGGTGGGATAAGAGATGACACAGAGCTGGGTTCACGCCCAGATCTCATGCCTTCAAATCTAGGACTCTGTCACCCTATGGAGTGCAACCCTCACTTCCTGAAGGTAGGTAACTGCTCCCTTCTTGGAGGAAATCTACCCATGGCCACGCAATGGTTTCCCTTTCAAGTTATGCCCAAATATCTCAGGAGTTGGGTTTCCTGTTTTGTTCTTAGTGAACATTAACCAGCCCCACCAGCCCACACTTGAATGAGATTCTGATAACCTGAAGACGTCCAGTGGACAGAGTTCTCTGGTACAAAGAGTAGGAGGCTAGACTCATTTTGTTCTTGTCATCCCAGCAGCAGGATGCCAACAACACAGTGAGGATTGTTTTCTACCAAGTGGAATTTCAGCTGGGAATCCTCATTTTGAGAAAACAGACCTCATCATTGCTTCAGGATGACGCAAATCAAGAGTTTAGGGGGAAATATCCAAGCGTGTTCACAACTAAAAGGACACAAACACTATAAGAACTCAGTGTGGCCTTAAATATGCCCCCACTGACCCTGGAGGTTTTTTATGGCACATATGGAGGTAGAGAGGGGCTCCACACGTGAAATAACCAAGTGATTCTCTTGGCCCCCTAAATGTCACAACTCTCTACCCCCCCCCAAATAAGAAGGTTACCTCCCATCCAGTGTGATTATATGAGGATCAGTAAACGAATAGCAATTGGCCGTGGGAAGGTCCTTTACTTTGATCTGGAAAGCAAAGACATTGGCAGTCAGTTACATCATTACTCATGGTCTTATGAGAGACCAAAGCATCCAATAATCTCAGCAAAACTGATTTTCTGCTTGTATCATTATTCTTATTGTTCACATCTCTTCTAAAATACTATAGAAAATGAATAAAAATAAAGCAGGTTTTATTCAAATAGAAATCACAAAACTATTAAATACATCCACATTTATCTGTCTAGAATGTACTGTCTCTTCCTATTTTGTGGTTGAATCAAGCCTGCTCAGAGCTATAAAAGACACTGTTGTTATGAAAAACAAAGGTTAAGGGTCTGATTTAGGATTTGGAACGAGCAAGTTCTGTCCCTTCTAAATGTGACAGGCTATGCCACACCATGTAACATATATATATATATATATACACACTCACACACACACACACACAGATACACATATATACACGTGCAAATGTATCTATGTGTATGTATATGTACACACATATATATAATATATACTATATATAAAGTGTTTTAGAAACCTTAGAGCCCCAAACATGTGCTAGCCATTATTATTAATTCAATAATTAATATGTTAAATGTAGCATATACTGTTTAATATAGTAACAATAAATAATAAAATACATGATTTTAGATAATAGAATTAATCGATATCATTGTTATTACCATATACTGCAGATACAGACACTTGAATGGTTGCATGGTTTGGGGTCAAATTTAAGTTCCTCAAGTATGGACTCAAAATGAGAATTTGACATCTAACTCTAAGATGGAGTTTGTAGACGTATTAAAACAAAGGTGGTTTGTTTTAACATATGAGTACTGTGGTATTATTATTATTAATCATGAATTATTTCTTTTCCCTTATTGTTAAGCAATGGCTATATTTAAGATCTTAAACATGTCGCTGTGAATAACTGGCTATGTAAATACATGTGATGTAACTACATATAAACTCATGGGTGAGGTGGTGCAGTGGATGGAGCACTGGCCCTGAAGTCAGGAGGACCTGAGTTCAAATCCGGCCTCAGGCCAAACACTTGACACCTACTGGCTATGTGACCCTGGGCAAGTCACTTAACCCCAATTGCCTGAAAAAAAACAAATAAAAAAAACAAACAAACAAACAAAAAAATAAAATAGAATAAACTCATGGGTGAAAGCCCCGGAGCTAGAGAGGTGACTGGGAAGTGTATTTCCTCCAGCTTAGAGAAAGCCTACGTGTTGGCTGTGATTCTTCTCGGGGAGCCTGAGCTGCCTGTGTGACAACGCGCAGGCCTCTCTGTGTCCTGTGGAAGGGACAGGTTCGAGGTCTACCTCCGGGGGCGGTCTTCGTCCCCCTCCCCCACACGTGCAGGCGTGTTTGGTTTATGGGCAGAGCCACACATTCAGTCCCTCTCTAGAGAGAGGCCTTGGCTGTGTGCCCACCTGTGTGCCTTCAGGAACGTAGCTGCTCCACAGGAAATTCTCACTGATGATGGGCTCCACAGCAATCTCAGTAACTCTGTCTCCATCTCGTGCAAAGTCTATTATGGCTGTGAAATAAATAACCGCCTGGCTACAGGTGCCGTTCTCACAAGATGATGTCTCAGGAAGGTCCACTTGACAACGAGAAAGAGCCAAAGTGAAACCTCGTTGTTCATCGCCTGTTTTAGTGAGAGAGAGAGAAAAAAAAAAAAAGGTCCGAGCTTCTCTCTCAGAGGAATGTGCATATGGCAAAGAATTCTATGATCAATGCCTTTGTTAGCAGGCCACACACCGACGGACAGATCTGGGGCAGAAAAGCTTCTCTGTCCTGTACAGACGGTCACCCTTCCTCTCCAAGGCTGCTGGACAAGGGCTCTACATAAAGATGAGGTAATTGGGTGATGTGAGAAAGGCCTGGGCATCCCTTTCCCAGATCAGGGAGAGATCCCGCCATTTTGCTCAGCCTCTCAGGGCTCATTCAAGGAGCTCCCTTGGAATTGATCCATTTAAAGAAATTCCCTCAGGGGCAGCTAGGTGGCGCATAGAGCACCGGCCCTGAAGTCAGGAGGACCTCAATTCAAATTTGGCCTTAGACCAAACACTTGACACTTACTAGCTGTGTGACCCTGGGCAAGTCACTTAACTCCAACTGCCTAAAAAAAAAAAAAGAAAGAAGAAAAGAAATGGCTTGTCGTCAGGACATCTTCCTCAGCCTCCCCACCAAGTACATCAGGAAAGGAATGCAAAGTTATTCAGAATTGATCTTCAGCTCCAATTGTTTTTTACAATCTAGTTCCTCTTAGCTTTTTCTGTCTTAGCCATTGTCTAAAGTATTCAACCCCTCACACACCTGGATAAAATTCCACAGCAGGGAATGAAAATTATGCATCTAGGCCTTTTATGTACTCAATCCATCCATGATTCTGGCAACAAAAGAGCCTTCAGAAAAGCACCAAGCCTTGTCCGGGGCAATGAATCATGGCTCTGTCCATTCACTGGGCTATAACTTGCCTTTAGTTGTGGGTTGGTGGTGGGTTTTCTTTAACAAAATTCACTGGCTAAGCACATGGCTAGAGGTAGGGTGTGAATGAAGGGAAGAGAGGGGCACGGCATTCTCCTCTCAGCGCCTAACAACCCTGTGAGGTACATGCTATTATTATTCCCATTTTACAGATTAGGAAACTGAGCCTGGCAAAGATTAAGTGATTTTTCCCAGGGTCGTATAGCTGGGAAAACATCCGAGACAGGTTTTGAACTCAGGTCTTGCCGATGCCAAGCCCAACATTTTATCCGTTGTACCACCTAACTGGCCATGAGGGTAAGGTACTCTGGCTGTCCCATCGGGCCAAGACTGCCAGGTGCACGAGAATTAGTCTGAAAACTGTGACTAGGACTTTATACTTATTTGCTGGTAAGGCGTTTTTGTTTTTTAAAAAATGTGATCTACTCTCTTCCTTGGGAGCTAATCAGACCAAAATGGGGCTATGATCTTTCCTTTTTTTCCAGATTAGGTGAGTACAATGAAATAATGGAGGCTGCCTAAGTCCAGCTTTCACTGGAGGGCCCTTCCTCAGGCCTACAGAGATAACTCACCAGCAGCAGCTCTCCCCCAGCATTGAGATGCTAGGCATCGGTCACTGACAGTACATTCTTGTACCAAGTCCAGAGGCAAATGTCTAAAACCTCAGTCATTCTTTCTTATGGGTAAAACCTTGTTCGTTGGAAATGACTTTCCATTAAAAATACACTTTGAAGTTTTAGACTCAAGTTTCTGAGGGCAGAGGGAACTTTGAGCAATGTTGGGAGGGCACCTTGACCTTCCTCCATGACAAATGGCTATGATGCCAGGGGGCACCGTAAGCTGTGCTCTCAGACCAGGAGGGGGGGCGCTCTAGTCTTACGGATGGGGGTACAGACTCCTTGCCTCTGTACATGGGGTTGGTGTCTACCAGTCTACAAGAATCATTACTTAAATGAGTCTTCTGAGAAAACAGCTTCCAGTAGTAGGGTGTGCAGTCCCTGGATTGAAGAGGTCTCTCACTAGACCCCCTGGTGCCCTTTTTACCAAGAGTTTCAAATTCATTTGGTGCAGAAAAGTTGATATTTCTGTGGATATAGAAGCTGAGCCTGCACTAAAGGGTTATAGAACCATTTAAACACTGCTCCAAAGTGCCTCAGAGGTCACACAATGGAACCCAATAGCTTGGAGTGAGGACTCCTTTGGGTCCACTTGGATTTGCCCCCAACAACTACCTGTCCATTTCTGGCTACTGGAAACACGCATTCCAACAAGTTGTTGTGACACGGCCTCCAAGGAGATGCTCTTACCCTGGTCAATGGTTTTCAGTGTCAACGAGACTTTGCATCCTTGGCCAAGCTCAGGACAAAGAACGGGAACCGTGCTCTCTAACCTCAGCTGGTACTCTTGTCCATCTTCCAAGATAGTGCTTACCTCTGGCCTGAGCTGGCACGGGAAGAAAACGGGAATATCAAAAACATAAAATGTAATGGTGCCTGCTGCAGAGCCGTTCCTTAATGAACACCCTGTGATTGATGACTCCCCTTAGAGGATAATGATTTTTTTTTGAAAAATTTTTAAGACAATTGGGGTTAAGTGACTTGCCCAGGGTCACACAGCTAGTAAATGTCAAGTGTTTGGTCTGAGGCCGGATTTGAACTCAGGTCCTCCTGACTTCAGGGCCGGTGCTCTATCCACTGCGCCACCTAGCTGCCCCAAGGATAATGATTTTAATGGGAAATTTTTCTGGTAACTCATTTTACCCCCAATTAAATGGACAGATAAGGAAGGATATCAAGCATTGGGCTAACTGGGCACATTCAATCGTAAGCTCCTTCACAGCAGGGACTGGTTGCCTTTCTTTGTAGCCCCCAAGTGCATGGTGCGTGGCACAAAGTAGGTGCTTAATATGAACGTTTGTTGACTTAACAAGTGTTTTGTGTAATAGAAATGATTAACATTTATTGATGTTCCTTAGAACACCATAAAGTGCAAAAAACTTACCCGTCATTCAATCCTTCAACAATTCCAAATGGATATTAGTATAATGGTTTCCCCATTATAAGATGAAGAAAGTGAAACTCAGAGAGATTAAGGGATTTGATACCGCTAGTAAGTGTCAAGGGCTGGGTTTGAACCCAGACCTGCATAAGGCCCAGTCCAGGGCTCCAGCCACTTTACCATATTGCTTCATCACAAAATGAAACTATGTCAAGAAGTCCACCTAGAGTATCATAAGACGAGTGGTCAGTTCACTCAAAGAACTGTCTAACTCAACCACATTCCAGTGTCACAGTGCACTAGGGTTCATTTCAAAATGAATGAGAAGAGACCAAAGGCCCCAACGACCTCCCAAGTAGGCCTGCCCTGTGGCGACCAAGACCCTGGCCCAGGCTACTCCAGGTCGCTCTCGGCCTCTGGGGGCGCCTTTACCCAAACCACTGAAAAATCACCAAAAAGCTTTTGAAAGTTTGTTCTCTCTCATTTCTGCTTTGTATCTGCAGTGCCTCTAAGGGTCTGCCACATTGCTTATTACTTTGAAGTGAATTGTCATTCACTGTTTATTGGCATTTATTTGAGAGCCAGGGGCAGCTAGGTGGTACAGTGGATACAGTCCTGGGCCTGGAGTCAGGAAGACCTGAGTTCAAATCCAGTCTCAGTCACTTCCTAGCTGTGCTACCCTGGGCAAGTCACTTCACCCTTTTTGCCTCAGTTTCCTCATCTGCAAAATGATCTGGAGAAGGAAATGGCAAAGCACTCCATGATCTTTGCCAAGAAAGCCCCAGTGGGGTCATGGACAGTTAGATACGACTGAAGAACAAGAAACTGCCAAGCCAGAAGTCTTCTATACGCGTGAGCTGCTCGCACTGGGTACCGCGGGGTTTCCTTGTGTCCTTATAGTACAGGTGGGGGAGCAAATGAGGGGCACACAAGCAAGAAGCTGGGGGAGGTGAACGTCGTCTTCTTCTTTCCAAATAAGACAGGTGCAAAATGCTCCCCATTCTTAATTTCCGGTTTGATTGGAGTGACTAAAACATCAGCCAGGAAATGCATCAATGGGTCTGTTATATCCCCACTGATATTGAGCTTTAAGGTTAATGAGGCACGCTCCCCACGGCAGCCCCATGAAACCCATGATATTTGCACTCTTTCCTCCATTAACAGATGAGGGAATAGGTGAGCTGACAGCTCACGGTGACCCGGCTAATAAATGGCAGCGTCAGTGCCAGGATTTGAACTCGGTCTCCTGACATCAGGGGAAGCATCCTTATGAAAAGCTCGTAGATTACAACTTTCCTCTGTCCCTTTCCTTCCCCATCCTGCCATCCTCACTCAGCCCTGACAGCTCCCAGATTTCTACCCTCCACGTACCTTAATGCCGGCAAAGAACTCTCTACTCTCGACGACCACGCTTTGCATGCCTGGGTTCTCCCGGAAAAAGGCGGATGCACTACAGAAAATCTGCAGACAGAGTAGTTGTCTTAGCAATAAAATCTTGGAGGACGTTTGCCTAAAGCATTATTTTGAAAGTTCATTATCTCCATTTCACTCTAGGGAAAGTGGAAAGATCACAGACCCAGCGAGATCTGCTCCTTCACCCTAGGTTTGGCCCAGACTCCTCGGTCAGCCCTAGAGGAGCCTCCCTGTGACAGGCCCAGAATCCCAGCATCTCAGAGGGGCACAGGACCTCAGAGGGCATCATGTCCAACCTGTCCCTGAACAAGACTCCCTTCTATAGCATCCCCAACAAATGGTTGTCCCTCCGGTTGGGAGCCTCCTGTGCGTGGGGGACCCAATACCCCTCCCCCAAAGTCGCCTATTTCTAGTTCAAGAAGTCATTAGTTGGGCACCGTGAAGACGGGAGATCAGACAAGCCAGGGGTCAGTGAGTTAGTTGGTGGCCATGCACACACCCTGACGTCAAAGGTCTGCTCATGGTTGAGAGGCCAGGGAATCAGATAGGTGGATGAGAGGAACAAGGGGCAGAAGACCTTGAAATGGGGTAACTTGTTCTTGAAGGAACACACTGTTATTGTGGAATTCTGGGTGGGGAGAAGTCAGGCCCGGAGCCCAAGCAGTGGAGGAGCTGCAGGGGATGGGAGCTGTCAAAGGGCTGACCTTGGCTACAGTGGGGATCATGACAGGATGAGCGTTTTCTCTTTCCCAAACCAATGGACACCCAATCCCCAATTCTACCAATCCAGAGCGTGAAATATCCTTGAGAATTCAGAACAGTCCTGGGCCATCATCACAGGCTAAACTGTCATCCCAGACTGCCAAGACAAAACACCACTCGATAAAAATCAAAGAACATTTGAAAGTGGGGCCACCTGCCCCAGTGCTGCTGATCTTCCGGCCACACGGAGCAGAGAGCTTCACGAATGCAGAGTTCTGGGGGAAGAAACTGAAGCCCTCTGAGGGCAGGAGGAGGCCCCTTTCCTCCTGCTGTGCTCACGGAACTGTGATTCCTCCAGGGAGCCTAGAGGAGGTGAGCTTGTCTCCCGGGACTTTTATACAAACAAAGAAAGTGACTACTTCATCTACCAGGACACCAGGCTTTACAGAACCATCCCAGGATTGCCCCAGGACCATTTCTATCCTTGGGTGTACTGCATGGAAGGAGATGAGAAAATGAGACATGAAACGAGAGCCGAATGTCCCATTGCACTCTGGAGGCAGACCCTGACAGCCACCAAGGGATGTTAGTCCAGGAAAAGGAAGCTCCCATCTCCTCTCTGTATGTGATCCAGCATTCAGACCAAAGCATTGAAATATCAAAATAATCTCCATTTCAGGATCTCTCAATGTGGGGTTTCTGAAAGCTTCCCTTACTGGGCAGACTTTGAGATTTGGTGAAATTTCAAAAAGAAGGAGTGCTTCAGGGAACGTAGAAGCTTTCTCTTTAGGACCTCATGGACGTAAAGGCCCTTCTGGGATGAGATGCTCTCTACTTCTGGGGTTCAGGATGTTCTCTATGTGGGGGAGGGAAGGGCTCATGGACATTCTTGGATTTTTCCCCCTAAAATCTTGATTTTAATTATCATGATAAAACAGTAAGATCTGCTTTCTTACGATGAAGAAGCATACTTGAACCCAACACATGGATGACTTAGAAGACGGTATCTGAGATTTACTGTGGCCGCCAAATTAAGCCTTCCTCAACCAAGCAGAGATGAGCCTTTCCCAGTGAATGACAGAAGCACCATCAGGAGCTGGTCCCATCGATGGAGCCTTCCCAGTGCTGGGAGGACCTACCAGAGCCTTTTCTCTGGGGGCACAGTTCTTGACATCCCAGGGTCCCCCCTACACCAAGAAGCGGCGACAGGGGAGTTGTCAGCAAATCCATTAAAAACTATGGGTCTGAAGTAAAGGTGTGAAAATCAGGAAATGCTACAAGGTGGGTGGGTATGTCTGTTTGAAGCACAGAAGGCAAAGGCATTCACCTGAAGAGATGCTGACAAAACCTTTGGGTGGATTTTGCGGATAGTGACCAGTGCACATATTCACAGAGATTTCTCCCTTCACCCATTCATAACTGGAAGTGTTGTGAATGCTGAGGAAAATGATGACAAGCGCTCCAGACGCTCTCTCTGCAGGCACAAGGACCCACTTTTTAGACAACATAGGAAATCACATTTGGAAACACCCATTCTTTGAACCTACCCTGTCTCCAAGCCTAAGGTTTACGCCATCAAGTTCTAAAAGGGAGAACTCCTCCACTGTGATCTCCTTTTTCAGTTCCTCTCGGAGTCCTTCTGATGAAAGTCTGGACCAAGCAATGACAAATCCCTGGGAGATGTTTGTGGGGGACCCCTCAAAGGTGCACTGGAGAAAGATCTTGGATGCCATCAACTTGACCTCAACCTCTGGGGCTCCTGGAGGGGAGGGAGGTGATGTGACAGTAGGGGGACCTAGGAGGAAAAACACATCGATGCTGCTTTGGTTCTTTAAAGAAGACAGGGGCAGGGGAAGACAATTACTTTGCTTCAAGATTTAATTCATTGAAATGACTTTTTTTCTTACTAAAATTCCCTCCATGCAATTAGGGCATGGGAATAAAAAACACTGTCAAACATTTCAAACATGGCGGGTCCTAGGAAGCTGCTGAAAAAGAGCCTGGCCCAATTCATTGATGTGGGAGACAGGATCACATAAGACATGACCTTCTGAAAATTCAAGGAATTCATGGCAATTTTCTAGTCCTCAACAAGGTGGAAAATGTTCTTTTTTGATGGATTTCCTCTCCAACCCCAACAGAAGAGCAATTCACCCTGGCAGCATGGTTAACTATCAACAATGCACATTTATTGTTTCTACTCATGAGATAAGTTCAGTGACTGAGCATTAAACCAACTTTGGGCCCCTGAAGCAATGATGTTGTTCCAAAGGATGGCCCAAAGACATAAAACCTCCCCAGTTGGATGGCATTACAATTCCACAGCTTACCAAGGAAACAGTTTTCTAATTAAAAACCCAACGATGCACTATTTCACCAGGATGCTCTGTTACAAGAATTGCTCTTTCGAAGAGCGGTGCCAGTTTTTTAATGAAATGCCTGAAATGCTAAGAAACATCCGGCCCTAGTCTTTTGTTGCAGGGTTGCAGGAGCATGCACTCTCATTACCTTCAGGAAATTGGAGGAGGATTTTACAATTTTAAATTTAAAAGTGGTTTCACAAGCTGGAATGTTTCTAAGAGCCTCACTGTTTTGTTTTATTTTGTTTTAAAGAAAAGGAACAGGTGCCTTATTAAGTGGTGATTTTGAACATAAGGATTTGTGAAACATTAGGAAAAATTGATTCATGCCCATGTGCTCCAAAAGAAAACACTGTGCTTCTAAATTTGGGATTTGAGTTGGAAGATCCATTCTGAGCCATACCCCAAGACAGGCAATCTGGGCCATGCACACCCCTCCGCCATTGTGAACATAGCACAGGATAACTAACCCAAACCACAGACTATCCTGAAAATCTACTGGAAAAGGTCAAGGCAATTGAGCCTGTTGTGAAAAGCCAAGTCTGATCCATACCTTGACAAGCACTGCCAACATCTGCTCCATCAGGGCCACACGTTGGTGATGTTGGGACAGAAATAGCTGCAAGAACACATCTTAATTTAGTCTATTTTTGTAAATGAGATTTAAATATATGAGACGAATAGTCCCTTAAGACTCAATCAGTTAATGAATCAGTTAATAAGTATTTACTCAACACCTACTAAGTGCCAAATGCTGTCATAAATGTTAACCCAGAGTGAAGAAATTCAGAGCTGTGTCCAGACTGATTCCGTGCAGGTTATGTTCTGTCCTGGTTCAGATAACATCACATCTCAAAAAAATAAAGTGATGACATACTGAAATGTTAGCTAATTCAGGTGCCGCCTCAGTTTCCACAACTCTAAAATGATCTCATGCTAGATGTCTTCTAATATTCCTTCCACCTCTGGATCTATGATACCATGACCCCAAGATTTTATTCATATATATGTGTATATATATATATATATACACATAGGTATATGTACATTTATATAGGTATATATAATACATGCATATATAGACACAACATTCACATGTGTGTATTTGCATTGTGCACACACACGCACACACACATATGATGGGAAGGCCCTGGATTTGGAGTCCAAAGAGATGGGCTTAAGCCCAGGCTCCCACTGGTCATATGACCAAAGTGGTTTATAGGACCATAGGAAGTTAGGTCTGGGAGTGATTCAACCTCTCTGAGCTTCGGTTTCATAATTTAATGGGGATAATAAAATTTAGTGTCATAGGACTTAGCAATGAGAGGGACCTTGGAGATTATCTAGGTCAATTCTCTCATTTTACAAATGAGGAAACTGACCTTCAGCAAGAGGCCTGCCCAAGGTCACAGTGAAGGGTAGGGCTGGGGTTGCTGTCCAGGCTCTGGGATGCTCTATCCCACTGGGCAGCACTGCCTCTCATTGGGAAAATGCTTTGTCATCTGTAAAAAGATCTGTAGATGGGAACGTTTGTTGCTTTCTCCTGGAACAAAGCCCTGGCCTTTGGGCCCTCCTGGGCTGCTCTTCCAAATTCCAGAGCCATGATGATGTCAGTTAGTCACTCTTTTCACAGGCGATGTGAGGCAAGCAATCAATCACCATTTATTAAGTGACTACCATAGGCCAGACATTATGCCAGGCTCCAGTGCTACAAATACAAGGACCTAACAAGTTAACTGTTTAATGGGAAGAAACCAATTCTTCTACTCAACTCTGAAATGTGAAACCAGGCTAAGTTATGTGGGAATTTGCTCTGCTTGACTAAGCATATTGATACAGGAGCTTTGTTTTCTTTTTTTCCCCAACTGGGTGAGGTGGGAAGACAAAGGAGAATAGGGATGGGGGGGAGAGAGAGAGAGAGAAAGAAAGAAGGAATGAAAGAAGGAAGAAAGGGAGGAAGGAAAGGAGGGAGGGAAGGAAAGAAGGAAGGAAAGGAGGGAGGGAGGGAAGGAAGGAAAGAAGCAAAGAAGGAAGGAAGGAAAGAAGGAAGGGAAGGAGTGGGAGGGAGGGAAGGAAGATCAGTCACTGAGACATCCTCTTGAAAACAGAGAGAAATGAACAGAAAGAGGTGAGGAAGCAAGCAGAACAGATCTGAAAGTTAACAGGTTGAACTTACCTATTTAAAAAGGACAAGGGAGCTTTAGGTACTAAAGACTTGCATTTTCATGTGTATAATCCTCTTTTCTGTTCTCCTATGTCTATGCAAATGCCCATTCTATCTGACATTTAAATTCAAAATACAAAGTAAAAACTAATTTTTTTTAAAAAATAAAAAAAAAGAAAGAAAACCAGACTGAGTTAATCCATAATATTGTAAGGGTAGACAAGCATTTCTATGGTGTCACACATTGAGCCTTACTATTAAGAAAGAATGCAGGGGATATAGAAATTTACACATTTAAAATTCCAGAAAAAAGAAGAAAATAATACAAAACTTAAAATGTTCTCCCTCTCTCATATAATCAAATTCCTTAAATGCATTAAAATTCAGGATACATGACCAATTTATCAAATAAAATTTGGAGTTCGAGTGTATTTCTTTTTTCAGTTCAGGGCTTTCCATTCCACACAATAATTTGCCTCTAAATGGAATGGGGCCCTGTAAGCATGGTCCAGTAGCAAGACGGTTTTCCATTATAAAAGCAAACGATGTGCCATAGGAAAATGCAGGAAATAATGCACGGTGCGTAGGTGCTGTCCCATTGGCTTCCATTGGATTTCCAGGCCCTGCACACAGTAAGTGCCTCACAATTGCTCCCATCTCTCCTCTGCCCCCTCCCAACTCTCTCCATCCATCCATCCTTCCATCCAGGGGAAAATCGACCACAAAGAATATGGAAACCCAAGACGCTGCAGCGCGCCACGGCCACCTCTGTAATGCACTGCAGCCTGGGAAGGCAAGCACAAGATAGCAGGTTTATCATCGGGTCCATCTCCTGGATCTGCCCACACTCGGTGGTTTGGAGCAAAGACCCAAAGCTTGTGTATCCATGCCTGTGCATCTAGCACCAAGCTGAGCCCCTGGGAAAAGTTTTATTGCTCTCTGTTCAATCAGTGAGGCGGGCCAGGACGGTACTGTGCAGAGCTCTGGATCAGAGCTCCTGAGCTCCAATGCTGGCCGTGCTGCTTGTATGGCCTTCATAATCCCTACGATCCCAGTGACCCATAGGATCAGGTTCATTCATCACATGCCATTAGCAACATTTTTTCCCATTTCTGAATGAAAGTCTGTGTGGATGGTGGCCTAGGAGGTTGAGCTCTCTCACCTTCAGCACAGTACCCCATACAGCCCTGGGTGGGCTGCAGAAAGTAGACCAGGAAGGGTCCGCAGTTCCTCACGGTCACAGGAATCCGGAACAAGCAGCAGTCCTTGGCAGCACCAAAGAACTCCCAGGAGGCACAGGCTGTCAGCTGCATGGCCTCCCCTGGCAGTGGCAGGGCCTCGCCTTCTCTCAGGGATAACCAGAGAGGGACTTGGGTACCACAGCGGTTCACCTATTCCAGGAAGGAAAAAGAGCAGAAGGCACAGCAGGTGTGTAGGGGAGAAGGAAGGTCTTTGGGTCATTTTCCCAAGGGGCACATGAGCAGTGGAGTGGGCATCTGCTCATTGCCAGAATTTGTGGGCACAATGACCAGTGCAGGAGCCAAGCTGGCCCAGGCACCGTGCGCTGGAGCTGAGCCGGAGCAGATTCCTGTTTCTGGTGTGTGTGGGCAAGGTGGCGGGGAGGAGCAGCACACCCTCTGCCTGGCTGAGGTTCCTCCCATCTTTAGGAGTCCTGGAGTCTTGGGCTGCAAATATTAGAAATACCATAGCATGTCCTGTGCTTGTGTTTAATGGCAGGTTTAAAACACCAAGCATCACATACTTCCAGACATCCTTCCTCGGCCATCCCCAACCACACACACCTGGGGGATTTCCTTCCAAATCAGCTGGATGCACAAAATAAACTTCAATGGTGTCTACGGATTTCCAGTGGAACATGCCCCGATTCTCTGAATGGCGACCATGTAGAGAAGGGGATCCAGGTGGGGAGAAGAAGGGATGACATTAAACGTAATCTAATTCAACAAAGACCGGGGTCTAAATCCCACCATGGACTTTACTAAAATGTGATTCTGGGCAAATGGCATAGCCTCTCTGTGCCTCAGTTTGGCCATCTGTGAAATGTATAGATTGGATTTGATGACCTCCATTTCACATACCAGCAAGGTTATGCTTAAAGTTCTTCAAGTTGGGCTTCAGAAATAGGCAGCTAGGTGGCATTGCGGATAGAGAGCTGGGCCTGGAGTCAGGAAGACTACTCAAATTCAGCCTCAGACACTTGCTAGTTTGTGACCCTAGGCAAGTCACTTAAAGCTGTTTGCAAACCACTCCAGTATCTTTGCCAAGAAAACCCCAAATGGGGTGACAAAAAGTCAGGCATGACTGAAACAATTCAACAACAAGGCTTTAGCAATATGTGAATTGAGAATTACCAGAAGAATAGGCTGGTTTTTGAAGAGGCAGAGGAACTAGGGACCAAATTGCCAACATTTGCTGGATTATGGAGAAAGCAAAAGCTCTCCAGAAAAACATCTGCTTCTGCTTCATTGACTCCACTAAAGCCTTATACTGTGTGGATCACAACAAAATGTGGCACATCCTCAAAGAGATGTCTACTGAGGAAACTGTATGCTGGCCAAGAAGCAACAGTTAGAACTGAATGTGAAACAACTGATGAGTTTAAGATTGGAAAAGGAGTATGACAAGGCTGTATATTGTCACCTTACTCATTTAACCCATATGCAGAGTACATCACAAGAAATGCCAAAAGCTGGAGAAATATCACCAATCTCAGATATGCAGAAGATGCCATTCTGACGGCAGAAAGTGAAGAAGAATTAAGAAGCCTCCTAATGAGAGTGAAAGAGGAGGGTGTAAAAGCTGGCTTGAAGCTCACCATCAGAAAAACTAAGATCTTGGCATCTGGCCCCAACACTTCCTGGCAACTAGAGGGAGAAGAAATGGAAGCAGCGTCAGATTTTGTATTCTTGGGCTCAAAGATCACTGCACACGGCAGCTGCGGCCACGAAATTAAAAGGTGCTTGGTCCTTGGAAGGAAAACTATGGAGAACCTGGACAGCAGACTAAGATGCAGAGATGTCACCTTGCTGACAAAGGTCTGTATAGTCCAAGCTGTGGTTTTTCCATTAGCAATGTAAGGCTGCGAGAGCTCCACTATAAGGAAGGCTGAGCACCTCAGAATCAATGCTTTTGAATTGTGATGCTGGAGAAGACTTCTGGAAGTTCCTTGGACAGCAAGGAGGTCAAATCAGTCAAGAAATTAGTTCAGACTCTTCACTGGAAGGTCAAACACTGAAGCTGAAGCTTAAATACTTTGGCCACATAATGAGAAGATGGGACTCATTGGGAAAGACCCTGAAGTTGGGAAAAATTAAAGGCAAAAGGAAAAAGGGATGGCAGAGGCTGAGATGGATGGGTAGTATCATGGAAACAGTGGAACATTCACTGGGACAGACTTGAGGAGATAGTGGAAGAGAGAAGGGCCTGGCATGCTGTGGTCCATGCGCTCACAAAGCGTCCATCACAACAGAACTACTAAAGAACACAACAAAAGGTCCCTCCCCCTGCCCCACCCAGGGCTACACAGGGGTTCCTATGAGCCAGCACTGATTAATGACCTGCTCTGTGCCAAGCATGTGCCAGCCACTGGGGACTCCAAACCTGAGGCAGGCAGTCCCTGCTCCCAGGGAGGAGCATTCTGCCGTCTGTCCCCTGGGCCCGCCCGTCTGGCAGGGCCTTCATTCTGCAGACTTAGAGCAGAAGAAGCAGGGAAAACCTTTTTTTCTCCAGTTGACTTCCATTTCCAAAAACCAATCACGGTCTGTCCAGTTAAAACTATTTATGGATAAGGTAAATTTCTGCTCAGTAAAATAAGGGGCAGTGTAAAAAGAATGCCAGAATCAGAGGTTTAAATCCTGCCTCTTACACTTGCAAAATGATCTTGGACAAGTCACTGAATGACCCCAGGCCTCAGTTTCCTCCTCTGTAAAATGGAGATAATAATAGCATTTGCACTGTGTACCTGCCTGTCTCCCAGGCTTTGTGTGTTCATGTTTACGTGTTTGTGGGTGTGGGTGAGAAGAGAGCCCTTTATAATTCTTAATGTGCTTTAAAGCCATGAGTGAGGATTGAGACTGAGGCTCTGTTGTCCTTCCAGGGCAGGCGGCTGAACTGTTCTCGTCCCACAGATGCCTTTGGCAGCTCTCTGGTGAGGCTTGTAGACCCTTTCTTGGAATCGTATTGGGGAGGGGGGGCTGAGGCCAACAGGGTCGGGTGACTTGCCCAGGGTCACACAGCTAGAAAGTGTCAAGAAGTGTCTGAGGCTGAATTTGAACTCAGGTCCTCCTGACTCCAAGGCTGGAGCTCTATCCACTGTGCCACCTAGCTGCCCCAGAATGTATTTTTAAGTACATAAAATAAAATGAAGAAGATTACAAAGAAAACCAGTTATATCAAAAGACAATTCTCAAACTATTCCAGGTTACCTTTTCTAGATGATTTCCCCAAATCAGAGGAATTTGTTAGAGGAAACCCAACAGAAGAAACCACAACTTGAGCTCACTCTAAGGAGATGGAGAAGGAAGATGTAATGGGTGGGTGACACACATTTAAATGGTGGGCCAGGGGCTGGCAGATGCTAGGGCACAGATCTAACAGGAGTTAATGATGGTCCCCTGGCCCGTGGTGACCTGGGATGCAGGGGTAAGCCAACAGGGTCTTCAGCTGTTGCCTGCAGGCTTCTCAGACCCGGCAGAACCTCCGCCTTGGAGGGGTCACCAAGCACGGTTCCACAGGGCAACAGAAAGGCCACAGGAAACTGATCACTGTGACTGCCACTCTGCTTAAGAGCCACGGCTGGACTCAGAAAGCAACAGCTCGCCCTCCTTGGCCCCTAGTTCCACCCGGCCAGGTGTGAGCCCTGCCCCAGAGCACCACAGGGCCACACATCATTCAGTGCTCTGGTGGGGGATAGATTCTAACTCTCAACTGACACTCTCTTTGAGTCACAGTTACCAGTGACATTGGCAGAGCAGAGCCTGCCACAGACAGTGCGGCCAAAGCCAGAAAGCCGGCAAGGTGAGGCTGGTGGATCTGCTTCCTGTCTTCATGGGCTCAGACCAGGTTTGGTCTGTTTCTAAAATGAGCCGGACAGGGCGAAGGCGGGACTCAGCAGGAAGCCTTGGGGCTCAAATTGTCAAGAGTGGCCACACCCGGTGTCTGGCAGGTCAAGGTGGAAGAAGGGCCTTTCGATGAGGAATGATCACTGAGCGAGGAGAGTCGGTGAGGCCGTGCAAGCTGCTGGTGGGGCCCCTGCATCGGGAGGGAGGGAGGTCTGGAATTGTCAACCAAAGCTCCAAGTGAAGCGTCAAATAGGAGGGCCAAGAAGTGGGAGGAATGGAGGGACCCCCGGTGATGCCGAGATTCCGGTGCCTGGCCCATTGGTGCTGCTCCAACGCCTACTGAATGCTGAATGGACTGCCGGCGATCCTCCCGAGCCACCGGCCACCACCATCTGGAATTCCTAGTGAATTCCAGAGTGAAAGGTAGTCTCCTCTAGTCCTACATCAAGAATCAGAGAGGGCCTCAGAGACAATCAGGTCCAACCCACATCTGAGCAGGAACTCCTGACGGCAGGTATATAAAACCTCTCCCAGTCATCTCTCCCAGCCGCTTGGGTGTGAGACAGCGAAAGCCTACTTCCATTTCCATTCAACAGCCCTTCAAACATCTAAAGACAGCTGTCATGCCTGCTCTGCCCCCAAGAAGAAAAAGAATTATTCACCTACTGACAGGCTGCACAAAAGAATTGCCTTGAACAGCAAATCCCCCTAAGTTCCCTTAAACATTGCATTATTTACAAAACTCAATTTACATATATTTTATCAAAAACACACCTGTTGCATAAATTAAGGGATAACAGTTTTGAGTGTCCAAGAAAAACCTACTCACACACAATCTCGTCCTAAAGCATCCGAAGAAATCCAGAGGCTAAAATGTCCCCAACCGGCCGCAGCTCACTAGCCCCGAATGTTCCATGGTTATTTGATGGAGTCTAACCTTCGAAGGGTTAAATGTCATCCACAGGTGGAATTAAATGTCAGTAGCAAGTGCATCATCACCTTCAGTGAAGCTGGTGTCTGCCTCCCTGAGCCCTGCCTTCCTCCCTGACCATCCCCACACCTGCCATAGGCATTTCCATGGTGTGCGTCTGCCTGGTGGAGTGCACCACCGTGGACAGCTGAGACTCTTGGGTTGGAAGTTCGTGGTCCCCTCACACTGTCAATGCTCACTGGGGGTTCCTGGCCATTCTGCATAGCGGGTAGCATCTCATCCCTTCCTTCCCACCCCTCTTTGTGCCCAAGACATCCAAAGGCCACAATGATTCGCTGGACCATGAAGAACAAACATGAGACACGAGCCCTTCTGGGCAGCTGAGACAAAGCGAGACAATACCTCCACACACGCCTTTGGCATCTCCGCAGGGCTGTCTGAGATCTGGAAGCGGTACCATCCTGGGCGGAGGGAGTGGTCACACATCAGCTCCACCGACCACGGCTCTGCTGCGCCAAAATCCACACTCCTCCGAGGGTCCCGGAGGACCTGGTGACCTCCAGGAGAGCATTCCTGAGCTAGGGACACGGACGAAGCTCTAAAGGGGGGTCTGTTTTGTACTCTGGACACACCCTTAGAAGGAGCCCTGATTTCAGAGTAAGCTTAGGGGTCGTTACAAACACTAGGTCATTCCCCAAGGGTCTGCCAGCCATCCCACTCCCCTTCTCCAGCTCTTGGCCCATTCTCAGCATCTACCCAGGATGAAGGGACTGAGGGACCAGCTTTGTGGGCTGTCCATCCACTACAGGTCACAGTCTGGCTTCAGGCTTCTCCCTGAAACAAGGGCCCTCTTTTCTACTGTTGATAATGTGCCAGTGAAGCTACATGGCTTGGTACGAGAGTACCATGGCCCCTGAAAAGGGAGAACCGAGGGTTAGTTACCCAAGGGCAATGGGGAGGTGCATGGTGGCCATGAGTCACCTACAGTTTCTCACCAAGGAAGAACTGGGCAGGAGAAGCATCAGAAGGGAGGCTGTCAGAGAGAGGTATAATGGGGAAGGAGGTGAGCCCGTCTCCTGGCAGGACACAAGGGCTCAGAGGAAGGAGCCCAGGACTGAACTAGAGAATGAGGACACGTACAGAGTTCACCAAGAGGAGAAGGCAAGGCTGGCCAGGATCAGAGGGAGGACCAGACTTATCAGGGTTACAGATCCAGCCAAGTAGTAAATAATAACTAGCATGTCTAGAGTGCTTTAAGGCTTGCAAAGTGCTTTGTGTTTATTAGCTGATTTGATCCCCGGGAAGGAGGTGCTATTATCATCCTCATTTAACAAATGAGAAAACTGAGGCAAATAGGATTCAGAGACTTGTCCAGGGTCACACAGCTAGTCAACATCTGAGGCAGGATTTGAACTCAGCTCTTTCTGACTCCAAGTCAAACACTCTATTCAAAGTGCCACTCATGGCTCCCCTTAAAAGAAACTCAAGCAGGAGACTATGGAAAGCCATTTCCTTTCTAAACCCATTGATTTCATCCAATTCTAAATCCACAATTCTAAATTCTGGAAAGGTCAATTTTTATGTTTGAGAAAGCAATTGGCCCCCGTTTCTGTCAAACTATGTAATACATTTAAATACAGAATCTTCCCATGGACAACAGTGGTTATTCTGGGCCCCCTGTCTCTGCTGCAACTTCATTGGCCACAGGATTTATTACATAGATGTGTCTGACTTTACATATGAGAAATTTTAAAAATGTTTGTGAAAATCAATCTTGATCAAATAATTTATATTGTAATATACTAGAGGCATTAATGTGCCTTGGGCACTCTGTAGAATACAGATTCTTAACCTGAAGTCCATATATGTGCTTTTTAAATATGTTTAGAACTGAATTTCAGTATAATTGGTTGTCTTTGTAATGCTATTTATTTTATTTTTTTAAATTAAAAACATGATTCTAAGGAGGGGTTCATAGGCTTGGCAGAAATGGGATCATAACACACAAAAAGTTAAAAACCCCGGGTAGGAAAAATATCCATGATATGGTCACTGGTCACATGTCAAATAATGAGTAAATTTCCCTTCAGTTATGGTCAGAGAAGTGAACAAAATAATTCATCTACATCCATTAGGATTTTACTTCTCGAATATATTTAATCCAGCAGGAAAAAAATAAATCCATAATTCTAAATTTATAAAAACTAATTGAGGATAAGACAATATCTCAATTGTTTAGCCATTTCCTTCTAAGGAACTAGCAAATGTCTGGGTAAGAAAGGTCTGGCTTAACTTTCATGGTGACTGAATAACATTCAGCAACCAGAAGGGATGTATTGACTGTGACTTTATCTGACATCAAGAGAGAAACAGAGTCGAGGGTCTCTTGTGAGATGTCACACTTACAAATATTAACAAAATTTGAATCAAAATTGCCTTTCCTCCCCCCTCCCTCAGGCCCCCATGCAGATATCACTGCACAAACACAAAAACCATTAAGAAGAAACCATGGTCCTTGACTTCCTAGAGATTGGATTCTTCCAAGGACAAATAGGAATGGAAAGCGAAGAGTTGGGTGTTTACTGAAATGCAAAGGACAATATCACAAATGGAAATTAAAAGCAGCCCGTGATTGCTGTTTTAATCACCAGTCTTCCCAAGGCATAAACTCAATTCATAGGTACTATAAAAGAGCAATTCGAAAAGTAATAAGAGGGTAGTTACTAAAGCCGCCAACTGCAAAATCACGTCTAAGAGAAGAAAAATAACTGCACAGCTAATAGAAGTTAGCTTGGCCCAACCAGCTGGCTGCCTCCTTCTGCGAGGTTTTCTAGCACTCATTCCCCTAAACCAATTCAAGGAACAAAGTGAGAACAAGAAGGAAATTAAACGGACAGCTCCTCCTTTGTCCTGCTCCTCCCCCCAGCGAGCCCCTTCCCCAATTTCCCTTTTGGGATTCTGAGACTAACTTGGGGGTTCTCACTGGGTTTTACTGGGATGACCTCCTTTCTCCTAATCTCATAACGCTTTTTACAAAGGGCTTAAGAGAGGTTTGGACCATGAATTCTGGATCTGTTTCCAGAAGAATTCCAAGTCTGGAATTTCAGGAAAGGCTGAAAGGCTCCCCCTGGGCTAGTAACTTCTAAGATGGACAGAAGTGCCTTCAGCTGCCCTGATTAACCGATAAAAGTTGAGAAAAGAGTCAGGGGGCTGGGCAGGGCGAGGCTGGATCAGATCAAAGCCCTACCATTATCCGTGAAATGGGAATATCTTATCCCACAAACGCCTTACAACGAATACCAGGTAAGAGGCAAAGTGCCCCTCCTCCTCAAAACCCACCTGCCTCGACTCTCCCTGAAGCCCCTGGGTGCTGATGAGAGGCAGGGGCAGAAAACAGAAGCAGGTCCTAGTTTGTTTGCTGGCCAAGGGATGCTTAAACCTGCTTTCCCAGAAGGACTGAATGGCAGCTTGTTATAGTGGGTACAGTGCCCTCAGTTTCCTCAGCTGTAAAATGGACTTCACAGATTGGTAGTGAGGCTCAAATCAGTGACTCATATTGCAGTTCTTTCTCCTTTTCATCTGAGTCTTCTATTCTAGGTCAAAGCACTTGGGGGATGGGGAAGTCCCCCAAACTTCAGAACCAAAGCACTGCCAGGGTGTTCTGAGTGACTGTCCTGCACAGGGAGAAAGCCCAAAAGGCAGGTCCACTCGGTGTTGACCAGAATCCTCTGGCCGCTGGGACGGCTTGGGGGTTCCCTTCTCTCCCTCCTTCTCTGGGGATCTGGGTCAGCGCCTTCTTTCCCTCAGATACGAAGACAGGGAGCCAGGAGGCCAAGCAATAGATGTCCTTCTGCTCAGATTCTGAGGCTAGCTCAGAGGTGCTCACTGTTTTAGAGGGATGGGCTTCTGGGGCAGGGATGGGGCAATGGGTGTCCTGAGGGTCAAATGAGACAATGCTGCAAAGCACTTTGCAAACCTTAAAGCACTATCTAAACTCGAGCTATGACCTGCAGTCCCCAGGCCTCTAGTCTGGTGGTGTCTGTGTTCCCAGAGCCTTCTACAGCCCTCCTGCTAAGCACAAACAAGTTCACAGAGCAATACAGGCTGGACTGGTAATGTTTAACAACCAGGCACTCAGGAAAAAACGATTCAAAAAGCATGCGCACATACGTATTTTATCTGCATTGTTAACACTTTTTTAAGTCTAGATAAGACAACAAAACAATACGTCCCAGATTTCTGGTGTGTAAGTGCTCATGCTGAAATGTTCACAACAGAGAGAGAGAGAGAGAGAGAGAGAGAGAGAGGGAGAGAGAGAGAGAGAGAGAGAGAGAGAGAGAGAGAGAGAGAGAGAGAGAGAGAGAGAAAGGGGAAGTTAGGTGGCGCTGTGGATAGATCACCATCCCTGGAGTCAGGTGGATCTGAGTTCAAATCCAACCTCGGACACATAACACTCACTAGCTGTGTGACTCTGGGTAAGTCACTTAACCCTAATTGCCTCACCAAAAATAAAAAAAGAAATATTCTCAATAGCTGCCTCTAACACATATAGTATGGGACCAGTGGGAAAGCCTGGAAACTTCCCACTGGCTCCTTTGGGGCTGATGAAGAGGACACCTGCAGATGGGGGAGTAGGAGAGAAGAGAGACTGGCCTGCCGGGGGACTGAAAGCACATTTGCTCCAGGCAAACAGACAAGGAACCCACGCAGAGCCATGACCCTCGCCCACAACCGGTGGGATCTCAGGGAGCCCCTCTCCTCTCTTCCCCTCCCCTCCCCACCCCCAGTACGCCCAGACCAAGGGCTGGCTCTTACCTTGACCGCCTGACTCTGCTCCTGCAACTGCCCCTGGCTCCACCATCCATGAACAGATGACAGTGACCCAGAGCACTGGGGAGCCTCCAGATGGGGTCCCCAGACCCATCATGGTCCCCCAGATGCCTCAAGTTCTCTGGGAGCCGGGCTGGGGGAGGAGAGAGGGTGTCCAGTGCCCCTCCCTGCCAGCCCTCTGACCCTAGGGCTCCCTGGCACTCCTTCCTCACTTCCCTATCCCTCTCGGAGCTACTCTCCTGCCCTCCCACCAGACTGGCCGTCCTGCAGAGCTCAGGCGCAGCTCTGGCTTGGCAGCGGCCTCAGGGCGGGACCAGGGGCATTGAGATGCTCTGGTTTCAGCCCTGGCCCCTCTCCTTTCTCCTCCCACCATTTCCTCCTCCTCCTCTGCTCCTAGGGAGCAGCAACTTGAGCCAGGCTGTCTGCAAATGTTACCCTCTCCCCTCTTACTTTCTCCCCTCCCTTTTCCTGCCCCCTCCCAGCAGCCTGCTGTCCTCTGGACTTGGGGTGCAGGAGACACGAGCTACCAGGGCTGGAGGTGGATCTAGGCCTTCCCTGAAAGTGGGAAATGCGCTGCTGCGTCCCGTTACCCCCTCTCCCCAGGACCCTGGGACTGGGAGGTGTAAACAGTGTCGCGGGGTGGGAAAGGGACAGCTTCCTCCCTCTGGGGACAAAGCCCTTCTCTTACTGCCCCCTGGTGGTCAGTGGTGGAGGGCTAAGCACATCAGTCCCCTTTTGCTGAAGAAATCATTGAGGCTCAAGGAGTCGATCGTAATAGTTAGTATTTGGAGAGTACTTACTACGTGCCAGGCACTTCACTTTACAAAGCTGGTCCTTACAACAACCCTGGGAGGCAGGCACCATCATTATCCCCATTTTACAGATGAGGAACCTGAAGCAAACAGAGTTCAGATTTGAAGTCTTCCTGACTCCACTTTGTCATCTGCCTCCGTCTCAGCTCACTGAGCTTACCCAGAGCCACGGCTCACCGACCCTCGGAGATGTGGGTGTCCTCAAACTGGCTAGCCCCATGCAGAGCAGAGTCTTGAAGGAAAACGGGGCTTATAAACACGTGCGTATAAACACATACATGTATATATGTATGTATGTACACACACACACAGACAGGGAGAAGGAGGAAAGAGGAGGGGCAGTTTGGGAAGAGCTTTCAATGCCAAGAGAGGGACAAGGAAGCCACTGGAGTTTGAGTGTGTGTGTGCTACATTGCCAGACCTGTGCTTTAGGAAAAAACTTTGATGGCTCTGGGAAGGAAGGAAGAATTTAATCAAGTGCACATCCTTTGCAAACCACTGGGTATACACCTACAAAAGTAAGCGGGTCCCTGCCCTCAAGGAGCTCACCTTCTAGCAGGGAGAAACACACAGGAAAGGTTTCAGCGTCCAGTCAAAGGGAAAGCCTCCAGGGGGCAGCAGCAGAGCAGATGGTCAGGCTTCTTTCATGTCATTTCCACCATGTTCATTTCTGACATTGAACCATCGACAGTGCCAAGGACTTGGTGGTGAGAGTATTGGTCCAGGGCTTCAGGAGACAAGGAAACGTGTTTGAGAGATGTTATGGAAAAAGAAATGACCTAAAGATTTGGCAATGGACTAGATAGGCAATTGGACTTTGACCCTAACAGGAATTTCAGAAGGGAGGCGAAGTTCAGAGGGAGAGAGAAGCTTAGTTTTTGGACGTGTTGAGTTTGAGATCCTTATAGGACATTTAATTTGAAATGTCTAAAAGACAAAAGTTCAGGAGAGAGACTAGTCTAGACATAATGATGTGAGTCATCCGCATAAAGATGATAATTGAACTCTTGGGAGCTGATGAAGTCACCATCTGAGAGTGTGGACCAGATGAGGGCCCAGAACAGTGTTGGGGGACATTGCCCCTTAATAGGTGTCTTTAGAACATCTTGTCTGGGTAGGTTTCTCCCCCAACTTCCACATGCTCTAGAGAGCTGGGACTCCAGACGGCCTCTCCTTAAGAACTCCCACTGGGGTGCTTCCTCTTAACAAAAGGTAGATGAGACCCAAGAGGGGAAAAGAGTGAGTCTGAATTATCTCTGCATCTCCTTGCAGCTACCAAATGCTCTGACTTTAATCCAGAGAAAGGGAGGGATCTTCAATAAAAAGGATGTCCAGCTGATGCTCGATGCCTCATCACCCCACCTTCTACCGCTTATGAGAAGTAAGAAGTTGCTCCATCCCCAGAATCGGCATGTGTGTAGCTTCCCTTTCATCTGGAAAACCAGGAGCCATTCAACCCCCCCCCCCCCCCCCCACTTCCCATAGACACTGTGTATGGTGCACACTGTGCACCTAAGGTCTATGGGGAAATGCTTTGAAAGGAAGGTTCTTGCTGGACCACTTAAGTAACTGCTTTAGCTAAGAGGTTGTTTTTTCTTCCGTAAAAGAAGGGAGGCCGACGGAATGATCTCTCAGGCTCCCTCCAGGGTAGGTCTTGACCTTCAGTCTCTTTCAGCCCTGTATTCCTCATCCATAAGATGGGACAATGATACTTGCGTGTCCTAAATCCCAAGGCTGTCATGAGGAAAGAGCTTTCTAAGCCTTCAGCACTCCAGTAAGGGGCGCTGTCATTGTCCTCATCCATCCTTGATCTAGGGGAAAGCCTCTATATTCCTTTGCCAAAAGTTGTGCCTGCACAAGTGGGTGGCTTCAGGCCCTCTCATACATGAGTTTGCTGTGAAGATGAATTCTTTCAAGTGAATTGACCGAGTTGCGTCAAGCATCATTTGGACCGCACTTCAGTGTTTCTGAATGCTGGATGGAAGGGCCCACAGGGATGTCATCTTTACCCCTCTAATGGCATGGAGAATGTTTCTGCTGGTGTTGAGGCTACAGCTACTGAGACCCAGGAAAGGACCAAAATCCTCGGTGTTCTCATTGGTTCCGCATCATAAACAGGAGTGGTTCCACCACGGGAAATGGCATGAAGAAGAGGTGGCCCCATCTCCTTCGCTCCTGCACCCTAAGGACCCCGGGATTTTCTGTCTGACTGGCAGCTGAAACCCCCCCAGCCGAGCAAAGACCATCCTATTTGTGTTCCCAGCCCTTCACACCCAGCAAGTGCTTAATCGAGGCTTCTCATTCTTTGGCCCTGAGCAGGACCCCTTCACCCTGATGTCTTCAGTGTCCTCCAGTGCCCCGCCCCTCCGCTCCCCCTCCCACATCCGACCTGTCTCTTAAGGCTTCTCCAGGCCCACCATTAGCTGAGGCCTCCTTTTAACTCCTGGAACTTTTATTTTTGGTTCCAATTATTTGTACTGGAGAGGAAATGACGCTGGATGCACGTCCACGCAGGAGAGACCTGACTTGAAGCTTGCTTTGGACGCCTCCTCGCTGTGTGACCCTGCAGCTAGGTCCGGGCCTCACGTGTATCATCTGTAAAAACAAAGGAGCAGGGAGAAGAAGACGGATGTGGGGATTATTGTGCATTGTCCTCTCCTGGTTATTTCTCGTCTTCCCAAATAGACCTGCATCTGCAGGCTGGAGGTCGGTCAGTTACAGAGTGATGACACAGGCAGTATCCCCACCCTGGCTTATTGATAAGAAATCAATTCAAATTGGTAAACTATTCCGAATAGCAGCAATCTACTCGAATGAGGCTCTGCATAAAACACCCAGATAGACACAAACAAAAGAGAACATATCAGCCCTGTCCTGGAGTCTCTAAGTGGAGCATTACATTGGGGCACCGGGGATCAGGAGAGCTATCGGTGATTTCCTCAGCTGAAGATGGAAAAATTACAAGTCACAGATCCTCCCAGGATCAGCTCACGGGACGAGCTGGGGACCCTTCCTCCGTCAGTCCTGAGCTGGGCCTCCCTTTTGTCATCCGTGAAGTGGGGAGAATACTTGTCACATCTGTGTCACAGGGTGGGGGTGGGGGTCTGGTGAGGTACTGTCCCTCAGGTGCCCTGCACACATAAAGACATGGTGTGAATACCTGTTATTTTGTTGTGTCTTAACGCTGGGGATGATGCATGGGCCGCTCCCTGCACGGGTGCAGATAAAAGCCCTGGTTTGTCCCCGGTCTCTCTCACGCTGTCAGCTCCGCGCGGCTCGAGGTAACCAGCATTGCACGGGGAGACTCCAGGGCAGGGCGCTAGTGGAGAAGCCGACTGGGACGTGTGGGGGAACCCTGTGGCTGCCTGCGGGGCCGTTTGACCTTCGTTCCAACCGGACATTCCATCTCCTGCGGGCCCCGACGCCAGGCCTGCCCTCCCTTGTTGGCTCTGCGCCTGGAATCCTTGGCCCCTTCACGCCTGTGCTCAGGCGCCAACTCCTAGGGACCTCTCCTGACCCTCCCAGGTGTGGGCGCCCTCTCGCTCGCCAAAAATGCACGCGTGTGCGAGAAACGCAAACCTCCCGCGCTGCAGAAACACGACTGTCCGCGTCATCGCCGCCGATGTCATCATTATCCTATTCCCCTGTGTTCTTGCCCCCGGATAGGAGGCAAGCTCCGCGAAGGCACAGACTGTGTCGAGTTTTTTCACTTTGTGTCCCAGGGCTAGCACACAGTAGGCACTCAATGACTGCTTGTCTTCTGCTGCAGCCGTAGACGTGCGGATGACTGGGCCGTCGTGTCCAGCCCCCGCCCTCAACCCTGAACTCAGACCGATGTCAGGCTTCACTCTGGTAATGCACATTTCCAATCTAAGCACGGTCAGGATCAGCCCTGTCGGCTGCCCCCAAGGAAGTCAGTATGGCCTGAAGGAGACATGTGAAGCCGGTGTAAGAAAAGCCAGGGACGTCCGGAGAGATTCCAGTTCACTGCGCAGTTGAAAATCCCTTCCCCGCTGGCTTGGAGAGCTGGGGATGGCCGGAAGGAGCCCCACAAGGGATGATGAGGGCACAGAGGAAGTGTTCAGTGCAAGCTCAAAGGCTTGTTTTATTCAGCCTTTCTACTAGAGAACGTGGCCTGAATCACAGAGCTCACCCACCTGGGAAGCCTGACCTTGTGCGGTGGAGATGGGTCTCTGACTGAGGAGCCCCATGGAGAAGGGGGAGGATCAGGGAA